TAACTGCTACCCATTAGTTTTGGGGCAACTTACCTATAACCTGATTAAATATCTTATGGAATTCCAATTCGTTTTCCTTTTCCAAATATTTATACATAACTGAGCGAACACTACGAAAAGTAGACAAACAAAACACACCAAATTCATTCAAAACACATACCCTTTTATACATCTAGGTAGGTATGTTGTACACATCATTTATATTTACACATACCTTGGATCGGGTAATATCAGTTTCTTGCTGGCCCTTGCTGCTGGAGTGCACTTACTTTTCTCCATGGCCATCAGGTAGCTGACATCAGCCAATACAGCCTCTAGATCAGCCATCTCGAAGTCGTTTTATTATTATTATTGTTATTATGATTATGATTATAGTGGTGGTGCTTTACAACAATTTATGTGTTTGCTGGGTGGTGGTGGTGGGGCTGGTGATATAGATGGTGTGCTGATTTCTGTTGTGGTGGCTCCTTTTTAATGGGAAAATTCATTGACCGTATTTCTTTAAATATAAAAAAATCAAAACATATTTTACTTATTTCCTTGATTTAATTCTTTTACTTAGTAGAAAACACATTCATCTATTTTAAGGGTTTATTACACTATTTTATTTACTTTATTTTCACATTAAATAAAAATATGTAAGTTTCTTCTTCTGTAATTTTGCTTACAAACACACACACCCATACACACAAACAAATTCTCCTTTTTCCCCATCTGACACGCACTCACACTCCCGCACAACATTCATTCAATCAACACCTCAAACAACAAATGCACCAAATAAAAAAAATTCAGGTATCCACTGAAATTCCCAAAACTCTGCTCGTCTTTGCAAAAACTTGAACTCACAATTTTTCTTTTGTCGCCCCAAAAACAATAATAACTTCTTCCTTATGATTGTAGACTAGTTGTTGTTATTTCTTAGGGTGTTTCTTTTTTTATATTTCGCACTCATAGTTAGAACATTTCACATATATTAATTTATTTTTCCCTTTTTTTATTTAATATCTCTCTATACTAACATAATGAATAATATTTAGGGATACTTAGGTCTCCTTCGGCATGGCCCCCATTCTCATTTTTTTGTTGGCTCCCTTTTGAGTCACATTTCGATGAAACGATTTTTACGTAGCTATCAAATAATCGATAATTTTGCAGTTCATTGTAACGGCTTATCTATTTTGAAACTGTATTTAATAGCATGTTTCCATTGGTATTTGAAGAAGGTTCTTCGCATCTTTACTAGATTTCATTGAATTTAAAACAAAGTAATATTTTAATATTTATCTGTTCCAAAACCTGGGCCTCAATTCTTGTTCTATGAAAGTATGAAATGAAAACTTTTATAGAGGGAAGAAATGTAAAATGAAAAATATTGTAAAGGAAATATTTTTCCTTTCATATTTTCATCGAACAAGAATGCAGCCCCTGCAAGAATATAATTTTTGTCGATATCATAAACATAGTAACAAATTTTACATTCTTCCAGCTTCTGGAAAAAAGCAATATTAAATATTACATGAATTAGCATGATTATGGGATTTATAGAATTAATGAAAGAAATAATTGTCTTTCATTTAAATATATTTTGTTTAATATATTATGAACTCTTCTTTCATATTATCCATTTTTTCGAAAAATCGTTTTATTTCATATTATTTAAATATTCTTACAATTTGCAGACATCGGTTATCGTAGTAAAAACTTTTATACCTTCCATGGTACAATAAAAAGGTAAGGTAGAACTTCCAGCTGATTACTATTTTTTTCTAACTGATTGGAAGAAACTTAAATAGCGGGGCGCGCATTAATAATATTAACGAGATTTTTGAGATAACATCCAGGCATTTCATTCATCTTTCTCGATATTTGACTCATTTTAGAAATGAACAAAAAATATCAAATAAATGAAAACAACTTATTGCCTATAATTTTGAATAATTCTGACAGGAAGCTGTTCTACCTCCTTATTTACCAAGCGCTATTCCTTGTTCGACCATTAATTAGAAATATCTACTTTATTCCCCACACAAAATTTGCTGAGCGAACAAAGATTTTTGTCCTTTGTTCTATTCAAATCACTCTCAGAACTAAGAAGAAATGTGTGCCATCCATAACAAAAGAGAGCATTTATCGAAAAAATAAATTATGACATTTAAAAATTAAAAATAGGAAAATTTAATGAAATTTAAAAAAATTTGGGGAAGACTGAAAATTATGAATGAAAACTACAATGTTGAATGACCTATGTACATTCAAAGAAGGCAATATTTTCAAATTGTTTGTATCCGGCAGGATTTAAAAATAGAAAAATACAAAAATATGTTCAAAATGTCAACCTTTACACAAAAAGTTGAAAACTTGAATGAAAATTGTAAAATTACTGATATAATAAATCTTTATTTCTTTTTATATTAGTGAGAATTTTATGTATTGTTGTATAAATTCTCATTAAAATTAAAAAAACAAAATTTTTGAAAAAAGGAATTTTTACTATGAATTACGAATTGTGCCGTATGAACGGGTTAATTCGTGAAAATGATTCTGTAATGAGAACATAGCATTAAGATGAGAGCTCAAGCCAGTTAAAAAAGCTTTTTATTTACTTTCATTTTTATATTTGCTGTGATAATTATGCAAAATGCTTTCGCTTGGCAACCCTGCCCACAACAGTAACAGATAACAGCATAAGCTTTCACATTATCGATATATGTCTATTTGCGGTTATCGCGTAATTTTTGAAAATTTGCGAAAGTTTTAGGAATTTCACAAGTGTAGCGTTATTTTTTTATGGAATAAAAGTGAAGATACTTATTTTTTAACCTGGTGCATGTACTCCAAAGATCAACATGTGAGTAAAAAAATATAAAAATGAACGAATACCAAGCCGTTAAGGCTTAGAATGTTTAATACATGTTTAGTTTGAGACTCCACATCAATTTAAAATCTCATATTGATCTCATTGTCAAAAAAAAACATCACATAAAAGATCGAAACTGAGTGAGATAAAAAAACTGCAAAAATGTCGGAACAACTCTAGTTTAGTAAAAACTCTTAGATTTTTTCGAAATTTTTTCCAGAGGTAGGTATTTTTACCCTGATCCCGGGAAACTATTTTTTTCTTGGGGGACGGACCCGGGACCCCAGATTTTTGACCCAAAAGTCCGGGATCAAGACCCCGCCTGGACCCGGATCCACTTACCCGATATAGACAATATGGGTATCGATTGAAAGCTTATGGAAATACCTTTCCAAAAAGGTTGAATTTGTGCTAATACCTTTACTGAGTCCAGAGATATGGGTCTTTCCATCCGCATAACCCGATTTTAACCAGTTCATTAAAATTATGTTGGCCGGCTACTTACAAAAGGTATCCAATTTAGAAAACTTTGGTTCGCGCTAGACGGTGTGGGACATACCCAGAGGAGAAAATCCCAAGCCCCGGCCGAAGGCCGGCTATTTACAAAAAGTGTCAAATTTAGAAAACTTTGGTTCGCGTTAGCCGGTGTGGGACATACCCAGAGGAGAAAATCTCAAGCTCCGGCCGAAGGCCGGCTATATACAAAAAGTGTCAAATTTAGAAAACTTTGGTTCGCGTTAGCCGGTTTAGGACATACCCAGAGGAGAAAATCTCAAGCCCCGGCCGAAGGCCGGCTATTTACAAAAGGTATCCAATTTGGAAAACTTTGGTTCGCGTTAGCCGGTGTAGGACATACCAGGAGGAGAAAATCTCAAGCCCCGGCCGAAGGCCGGCTATTTACAAAATGTGCCGAAATTATGAACCTTTTGTTCGCGTTAGCCGGTTTAGGACATACCCAGAGGAGAAAATCTCAAGCCCCGGCCGAAGGCCGGCTACTTACAAAAAGTGCCGAAATTATGAAACTTTTGTTCGCGTTAGCCGGGGTCGGACATACCCATAGGTGAAAATCTCAAGCCCCGGCCAAAGGCCGGCTATTTACAAAAAGTGCCAAATTTAGAAAACTTTTGTTATTCAGACGACTGCTACGCGAAATAAACACTTTTTTTATTAAAAACATAATTTTAATGAACTGGTTAAAATCGGGTTATGCGGATGGAAAGACCCATATCTCTGGACTCAGTAAAGGTATTAGCACAAATTCAACCTTTTTGGAAAGGTATTTCCATAAGCTTTCAATCGATACCCATATTGTCTATATCGGGTTAGTGGATCCGGGTCTAGTCGGGGTCTCGAACCCGGACTTTCGGGTCAAAAATCTGGGGTCCCAGGTCCGTCCCCCAAGAAAAAAATAGTTTCCCGGGATCATGGTTAAAATACCTACCACTGAAAAAATTGAAGAGTTTTTACTAAACTAGAGTTAAGCCAAAATGTCAAACGCCATAATTTATACATTTTTTTAAATATTATTGAATAAAAGCATAAAATGTCGGAAATAGCATCAAATTTTAGAATAAGTTAAGATTTGTTCGAATTGGTCACCTTTGGCACGAATTATGGCCTTCAAACGGCCAATGAAACCGTCACACGCTGCCCGAATGTTTCTATGCGGTATTTTGGTCCATTCCCGGCGAAGCGCTTGCTTGAGGTGATCGACACTTTGGTCCTTTTTAGTGCCAACCTTGCTTTCCAAAATACTCCAGACACAATAGTTCAACGGATTGGTATCCGGAGCTTTCGGTGGCCATTGTGTGCGCTGGAAATGAAGCGAGGGACCTCATTTTGTTAACGCTTGAATTACATCACGTATAACTTTTTTTTTTTGGAAAATTCTCACCAAAATGCTTTTGTATAATGAGCTGTCACTGCAACAATTTTAACAGCTGTCCGACGAGTGGCTTAAAAATGACAGCAGTCTAAAGTTGGTTACCGTTTTTCCATCTCATCGTGTATAAGCTCCCTATCGTAGCTCATTTGCTTGGTAGTAGGCTTTTCCATAAAAAATTCAAATGGAATATCTCATTGTTTTTTTAATTAACGAATAAGATTGAATTAATCCTTTTTCCAAAATAAAACTCATGCGTTTCTTTGTAATAAATACTTTCGTTATTATTTTTCATTCTAATTCCAATTTTAAGAATACGTCTACATTATTTTTTTCATTTCGTATTTTATTCGATTTTTGTCGATTCTTTTTGAAATTTTTTAAAAACTCTTTTTTAACGCGAATATACCAAATGTTGAACAAAAAAATTGTTTGTATATGATTTCTTACTATTTTGATTTTAGATATTTATCGATTGTGGAAATTTTGTTTTTGAGGGGAAGGGGAGGGGGGCGAAATTGATATATGTAGGTATGTGGGGTTTGATGTTTTTGTAGCGTAATAGTTTTTGTCTCTGATAGTTAAGATTATTAGTTATCTTGTCTATGTTTTTTTATATATTTATATTATGTATTTTTTATGGATGCATTTAAAAAATATAAAAAAAAATTAAAAAATAAACATATAAAAAATAATTATAACCAACTCAATATATTACAAAACATATTATATATTATGTAGATTAATTTGTATGTATATAAATATTTTTGTGGATCATTTTTTTGTTTTTAAATCGCTCTCGTTACATTATAATGTGAAAAAAATATTCGTAATATATATAATAATAATTAAATAACCGTAATATATAATATAATTATTATTATTATTATTATTAATTTTTAATGTATAAGTATTCGTTTTATATGCATGTATATAAATATGTATGTAGTTCAATGTTTTCCTTTCTTTTCTTTTTGGATAGCAAGTATTCAATTCTTCCTCTTCTGTGTTTTCTTTTTCGAAACGTTGAGTAGTAGTGGTGTGTTCCAAGAGATGAGATCAATTTTTTAAAATGTCTCCAAAGTTATGAAATGAAAAAATGATGAAAGGAAGGCCGGTGACTGGCTGCACGTACAGGCTTCTAGCATAACCTTTCTTGCTCTTTCTCTCATGCTCGCATTCATACACACACACGTCACGCTAGCACACACTCACTCTCACACACACACACAAACGTCCATGCATTCTATTGCACAAAATCTCAGTTTTTTCTTTAGGTATGCTGCTCCGAAAATATGGACAATATTGATCGTAATGAATGTCACTGTTGATTTCCCTCGTTCATAAGTTGAGCACTGAATGATAATTCATCCTAAAATTAGATTACATTAGTATTACAGATACAGCAGGCGAAGGGGGGAGGGGGAGGCATGTTTACAGACACATAATAAAATATTTAAATATAGAAATAGATACATATATATTTACACAAAATTTAAGTAGAAATGTTTGTTTGGTTATGAGAGATATAAAAATTGAGAATTAAGTAATAATTTCATTGAGATCTTACATCGAACATGTCTTTAAATGAAGATGATTCATTGCCAAATGGACTGGGTGATCGAGATTCTGAATAATTTAGCTCAGATTGCTGGTCATGCATTGTGCTTTTCTGCATTACTCCTATGTAATAATAATAGAGTAATAAACGTAACGACAATGGTTGGTTGTTTGGTTGAAAACGCATTGGAACAAAAACAAAAGCAATTACAAAAATATGAAAAATATTGAAAAGGTCCGTCACTTGACTTGAGACTACTTACCATTGTTGTGACCAATTTTTAGTTGGCGGAATTGTTTCAATGAGGCCATATCCGGTTGGATCATACTTAGCAATTGACTGCGAGATTCATTGGGACTCTCAATGGAGGTTGGTAGATCTAATAGGCGCTGGTTTTGTATGCCATCACCAGGGCCCATGTGCGATATATGATTGAAGTTGGTGGGAGCTGAAATCATTTTGGATCTTCTGTCCGTGCTGTCAAAAAAAAAAAAAAAAAAACAAAGAACATAATACAATGAAATTAATATGAAGAGAGAGAGAGAGATGAGAGTGAGCGCAAACTAACTTTTTAATGGTTTTATTGATTTCTCTCATGGAAAAACGGCGCTTGGTATTGACACCACTAATACGTTTGAGATTCTTTGACTGGAAAAGACCCTCTGGAAAACAAAATACCAAAATTAAAATTATTTTTTTCAAAACATTCCAAAATTTCCACCCCTTACTTGTATGAATATTTGCCAAATACACAACATAGGGCGTATCATTTATGTGGGTCAACACAATATTTCCCTGTTGGCTAAGGGGCGCTGAACGCTTCAAACCTATCGATTGTACCCACTCAGCTGTTTGGGTATTGAAAATATCTAAATGGGTCTCGGAAAACACCAACAAATGGCCATCGGAATAAGCTGAGGGGAGAAAAAATAACAAAATTAGAATTTTCTCTGCGAGTTTGAGATCAAAAAATAAAAATGGAAACTTACTTATATGTGTTGGCAGGGCTGGATACATTATTTCACGATCCCTTGATTTACGCCCCTGTAAATCAACATAAATGGCCAGAGTTTGAAAGACTAGCAGATATTCACCATAGCCACCGCCAGCACATTGGATTTCAATGACGCGTATCGCATCGACGCCAGAGTAATTGAGAAAGGCACACAACTGATTTTCAGGATGTATTAGAGCTGAAAATAATAAAATAAGAAAATTAAGATTATTTTTTTTATTGGAAAAGGGGATAGAAAGGAAGGCAACAAAAAAACCAGTAAAGAATGTCTCAAAGTCGGGCGGGGTCGACTCTATGATAACCTACACCACTTTATATATTTAGTAGAGCTTCACAAAAAAAAATAAGTTTTTATGGGGAATTCGGAACCGATCTCGATAAAATTTAGCACAGGTATTTCTGAGCAGTATTTGATATATTTCCCTAAATATCATTGTTACAGAGTCCAAATTGCAGCTGCGGAGGACAAAAATAACAAATCAGATGAAAAATATATATGGTAACTATAGCTATATCTGAACCCATCTTCACCAAATTTAACATACTAGTTTCTAGACTCAATTTGGTCGTAAGTACCAAATTCCATCCCATTTGGGCTAATATTACCCATTTGGAGCACAAGTAACTTGAAATCGGATAAAGATATATGTATGGCAGCTATATCCAAATCTGAACCGATCTCAATAAAATTTGTCAAAGGTATTTCAGAGCTGTATTTGATATATTTCCCTGAATATCGTTGTTACAGAGTGCATATTACAGCTGCGGAGGATAAAAATAACAAATCGGATGAAAAATATATATAGGAGCTATAGCTATATCTGAACCCATCTTCACCAAATTTGACATACTAGTTTCTAAACTCAATTTGGTTGTAAGTGCCAAATTCCATCCCAAACGGGCTAATATTACACGTTTGGTGTACAAAAAAGGGGGAAATTGGACGAAATCGTATATGGAAGCTATATCCAAATCCCAACCGATTTCGATAAAATTTGTCAAACGTATTTCTAAACTGTATTTGACATATTTCCCCAAATATAGTTGTTACAGAGTGCATATTACAGCTACGGAGAACAAAAATAACAAATCGGATGAACAATATATATGGGACCCATAGCTATATTTGAACCGATTTCGATTAAATTTGGCATACTTATTTTTAGGCCTAATTTGGTGGTATGTGTAGAATTCCATTCCATTTGGAGTAATATTACACGTTTGGTGCACAATAAAAGGCGAAATCGGACGAAGATATATATGGGAGCTATATCTAAATTTTGACCGATTATCTCCAATTTCAAAAGGGTTCGTACTTGGGCCAAAGAAATGATTTGTACAAAATTTCATCTGGATCGGCCAATAAATGCAACTTGTACTTTGTTTACAAAAATACATGGACAGGCGGACGGACATGGAAAAATCGCCTCAGAATGTGATTCTATGCAGATCATCAAAAGGAACTATGGGGTCTCTCTCATTTCCTTTTGCCTCTTACAAACAAATGCATAAAGACATAATACCCTGACCACCTTGTGGTGTAGAGTACAAATAGAAGGCACTGAATGTATTCTTCCAGGCTTATTTTTAGAAAACCGACGTCTTAATTGAGAACAAATCTTGGAATAATTTTTAGGAAAGCCTAGGAAGGAAATAATCTTGAAGGATAATCATTAAAAAGACCGGGTGGCGTATTTGTATTGTCATAGCGTATACGCCACCAGTTGAACTAATGTCAGCGTCGAAATGGAATTGATGTGCCATAACAACTCAGACTTGATTTGATCTTGTTTTGAAAATTTTCCAAAACATCAGAAAAAAAGATTTTCTATAATTTGTAAAAACTAAGAGGTTCTTTTCTATGACAAGACTGACATATATTGTACCAGAATGATCCATAAGATCATCAATTGCTAACAAATCGCAATAGAGAAATGAACGTCCTTCTTATAAAAGAGCATTTCTTTTAGAAACATCAAAAAATCTTCTCATGGACTACCTTCGATGACCAAAACGCCTTAATATAGAATGAAAAAAGGTCTTAACGTAGGCGGCCACAAAAATCTTCCCGAGGGGAGTAAAAGTTTTTGTCGTAGATGCCAAATGTTCTCATCAATGGATCCAAGTCTTTAAAGAATAAAGTCTTCACATAGACGACCACAAAGATCTTCCCGCAAAGAAGACATGTTTTCTAATGGGTGAGCAAAAAGTTTTTTTCGTCAAAGAAAAAATGTTCTTATCAACGGATCATAGCCTGCATAGATTTCCCTTCTCAAATACCAATATCTCTTTTCCTCTATAAAAAATTGTCCTTTTTTTAGACGACAAAATGTTTTCTTCTAAAGAACCCCTCAGAGAAAACGAAACAGTCATCATCTATGACATTTTTTTAATCATATGGTGTCGTTTCGTAAATATAGTCTCCTAAGATACCAAAAGTTCCTCCTACTGAAGATTGGAAAACCTTTTGCAAGGGGCCAAAAAAGTCCTTAAATCCATGAAATTAGAAGACCCTAAATCCATGAAAATAAATAATAATCCCTCCGAAAACTTTCTTAGAAATCTTAACCTAAATTCACTACCACTTACACATTGCCGTTGCTTCTCCCTGCAGCAGATACGCCGTAAATCCACTTTGATGACCAATTACCAAACGCATATCCGACAATATTTGAACACATTGCACTGTGTAGGCCACCGTAAATTCACACATCTTCTGATGACGCAGGCGATTACGATTAATTTCGTAGACTATGATTTGCGTTTGATTGGTGGGTCGCTTGAGGGCAACAACAAAACAATACACCACAGCCGGTATACGTTTTATGATGCCCGTACAGGCGGCCACACAATTTTTCGAATCCACCACCTTGATCCATTCAACGTCGCTGCACTCCAGCGCTCGTATGGGCAGCAAACGAATGTGACGTTGTTTGCCACACAACAGCACCAAGATGTGTTCCTCTTCGATATACCAGATTTGTAGAATTTTTTTACTATCACCAATTCGGGCAATTTCATATTGTTCGAAATTAATGCAGTAAAGGCCGTCATCGGTGCCCAACAACAATTGATCGGGGTACACGATTAGGGCACTTAGGGCATTGCGCATTAGGGCCAAAGAACTGTCAAGGATTTCATTGACTTTATAGATGGCGGTGTTGGGTAAATTGTTGCGCTTTAGAATGCGATGTAGTTCACTCAGTGCCACAACCCATTTGGTTTTTTCCGATTCATTGTCGGCCAGCATTAGGGTGTTTAGGCAGGGCCCACCCTCGATGAGAGAGGTTTTTATCTGAAAAGCAAAGAGATTTTTAATTTTCTTTAGAGAAATTTGCGGTTTATGGTTACCTTGAAAATACATGGCACATCTTTTTTGGCTGCATGAATGACATCGCTTTCCCTTACACTGGTCACGGCAAACTCCGTATCCCTCATGTCCAATACCTGTGATACATTCACACAAGGCAGGGCACTGCGATCCGCCGAAATGTCATATAAGAATAGCTTGAAATCACACACCACCACAAATTGCCGTACCCAGCCACGCTTGACCACACCCTGTTTGGGTACCTTGACATAGCCCTCATAGGCTGTGCCAATGCCACGCGTCGGATCAATGCCCAGTGGCCGTTTGGTTTGATCATTTGGTACTGGACATATTGTAGGAACCTTTTGACAACAATTTGTGTGGCAGGCAAAACCGCAAATCTCACACACCACTCCCTGGCGGGTTAGGCCCACCATAAGGGACGTACAATGGTTGCATTTGGTGGGACTGCTAAAGGTGCGTACCAAAAACTGATGGATCTTTTGCTTATGCATGCTGGGCGTTTGCTGTTGCTGCTGCTGTTGCTGATGATGGTGTTGGGTGTCTGTTGATTTACAACTCAAATTACTTTTTGAACTGGAATTTCGTATAAGCGATTTACCCTCATCTATGCCGCCATAGGATAGATTGTGTTCGGGTGACAAGTTCATGGGATAACTGCCGCCATAGGCCATTTGTCCGCCGCCGACGCCGCCGCTTTGGCGTTGATCGGCTGACGAGGATGCCGCCGCCGCTGAGTCATCCGAAAAGAAGATGTTCGAGGATGAGTTCATCTAAGGAGAGGGGGGTGAGAAAAAGTGGCATTAGTTTTTTAGGTGGTCAATGGAAACTGAATCAGAAAACATTGTTTTTTTACATTTCCACCCAGAGTTTTGTAAGGGAAACCCATTTTTGAGGGAGAGAGAGTGAGAGAGAGAGAGGAGCAAAAAGCTTTATTTATTCTCTTTTTAAAAAAGGTTGGTCAAGGGACAACTTGCAATTATTCTTCTCTCTCTTTCCCCCAAATGACGTTTAATACGGAATGGGGGATCAATTTAATACTCACCACAGTATCACCCATTGATAGGCCACAAATATTTGGATCAGATTCCTTGAATATAGCTGCCGCTTCTTTATTGAAATAATTATAAGATACCTGTGAATTGGATCTTTCCAGAACTGCATTTTGGAGGCATTGCATTTGCATTTGATTTGATTTTGATTGATGATTGACGTTTGGTGGATTTTGGCATGGATATGGATATAAATGATTTGTTTGCAAAGAGAACACGCACACACATACACACACACACAATTGTTTGTTATGTGCAAGCAGATATAAATCGGATGTATTGTTGTGGATGTCAAATAAACATGGATAATGATGATGTGATGATGATGGTGATGAACGAGAACAAACGAACGAACGAAGGATATGTGTGTGTGTATAAATTTAAATAAAAAGAGAACAAAGATACAAATATTTAGTTACATAAAAGTTTGAACACAATGGACATATCTGATAGGAGGATAAGGGAATGATAGTCTAATCTAGAATTTCGTGCTTGTAAACACAAACAACGAAGCCACAGGTGGACAATGTTCAAATGAAAGAAACACTTGAGGACCTGTTTCGGTATGACAATACTAAATTGGATGCGAAGGAAAAACATATACTTCCAAATAAGTTTTTCATATTTTTCGATTTTAAACTAATTTCAAAATTTGAAAAAATTCCTTTTTGGTGTGACGTTTTTCTTTCGGATTCATCACACAATAACAGATCCATCGTTAGTCTATGACCAAAGAAAGTGAGAGGAAAGGATATGTTTATTTTTTCCGCACTCTTCCTTAAACCTAATGGTCTTTCATGTGAACCCATTTCCATCTGTGTCCTCGGAGTAAAATTCCAATTTGTTTCCTATCATTTTTTTTTTGTTCCCAATGAAGAATAATGGATATGTGTTGTATCTGCAATGAATTAAAGTAGGTTTTACATTCCAAAAAAATAAAATTTGGGGAGTGGGGGACGATTTTTAGTCAACTGGAGGAGGAGTGATAATAAAGCAAAATTTTAACTATGGATATGGGTAGATTCTGGATAGCAGCAAGGCCCATATAAGGTCGGCATAGTTTTTACACAATAGTAGTTATGTATTTTGACAGCAAACTTAGTAGTCAGCTAGGATTATTTGCCGACCTTATATAGGCATTGTCGTTACCGTGTCAAATTTCAATATTTCAGGACAACAAAATACCCACGATCTGCCGTCACTTTTTTGATATTCACCATTTTGATGATGGACCTATATTTTTCCACGGTTACCGAGATGAGAATCGTTACCGTGTCAAATTTCAATATTTCAGGAAAACAAATTACCCAAGATCGGTCGTCATTTTTCCGATATTTACATTTTCCACGGTTTCCGAGAGAAGTAAACGCTAAAAAAACAGGTCAACTACTTGATCTTTGAAAAAAAAAAACTAAAAAATTATTTTTTACAGCTCGAAGATGGAGGAGAAGCAAAAAACAGATCAACTACTTGATTTTAGAAAAAATTCTAAAAAATCACTTTTTTCAGCTCGAAGATGGGCTTTAAAACTTTTTAAGGAATAACTGTCATCAAAAGACGGCCTCAGACGTTGAATAACAAGTTAAAAATAGTATCAGTCGGTTTACAGACCGACATACACCCTCAGCATTTGACTATTTACTTTTGTATGACTTTTTTGGGAGAATCCAAAAAGAGTGAACCTACAGATCTAATTCTACTGGAAAGCATAGCTTTGTTCTTTCTATTAAAATTTTAAATATACCGACGACGTGAATGCGAAATGCGAAACTTAAAAAAATCGGTGAATACTGAAGCTAAAATCATCAAAATACCAAACATCGGGAGGTGCCGCTATATGGGGGCTATACGAAGACGTGAACCTGCACGGACAATTTTCTGCCACAGGCTGTAGTATCCATTATGAACATCAAATACCAAAAATTTGAAACATTTCCGGTGAATAATGTCGCTTAAATCACCAAAATTCCGAAAATAGGGAGGTACCATTATATGGGGGCTATACGAAGACTAGGACCTGCACAGAGAATTTTCTGTCATAGGCCGTAGTATCCATTTTGAAATATTTCCGGTGAATGATGCCGCTAAAATCATTAAAATACCGAATATCGGGAGGTACCATTATATGGAGGCTATAGGAAGGCGTGGACTTGCACATACAATTGTCTGTCTTAGGCTGCAGTATCCATTACGAACTACAAATACCAAATTTTAAACAATTCCGGTGAATAATGCCGCCAAAATCATCAAAATACTAAATAGCAAGAGTTGCCGTTATATGGGGGCTATACGAAGACGAGGACCTGCACAGACAATTTTCTGTCATAGGCTGTAGTATCCATTACGAACTTCAAATACCAAAATTGAAACAATTCCGGTGAATAATGTCGCTTAAATCACCAAAACACCGAAAATAAGGAAGTACCATTATATGGGGGCTATACGAAGGCGTGGACTTACATGGCCCATTTTCAATACCAAAGACATTATATAAATATCAGTAAAATTTTATCAACCTACTTCATTTCGTTCGGAAGTTAGAGTGATTTCCACAGACAGGCAGGCATCGCTAAAGCGCGATAGAATTTGATTCTGATCAATTTGTTGGGTCTGAAATGTATATTTCGAGGTGTTACAAACGGAATGACAAACTTCATATACCCTGCATACTAAAAAAGCAGACGGATGGACACCGCTAGATCTACTCCAAATGCTGAGAAACGGATTTCGCCCAAAGAAACGTAGAGTCTAAAACTAAGGCACAATGTATTGCACGATTTTCAATTAGATTTGAAAATGTACTTTTGTTAATCATTCTAATTAGAGTTCACTTTGTTTTTTATTTTAAGTCAGACTTTGGCGAGGGAGCAACCACTTTTTTAATAAAGGTGCCCCTAAGTAACGCCAAGTTTCGCTTGTAATACACAAGTCCAAAACCATTTTTAGAGGTTATGTTAGATTGCATTTTTTTTTTTTTTTTCATTTTAAAATGTTTAACGTCAATTTAACAAAAAACACAATATTATTACTATTTGAATCATATCAAAATTACAATTTGATCATATCAAAACGAGATATGCAGTTGAGCTTGTTTGGGGGGGTTAATTGAGGTTATGTTGAAAATGCAATTTATTTCGTAATGAGCACTTAAAGCTGCAATAACTTTCAGTTAGGCCTCCTCTCTTTAATAAGGCGGTGGCGGCAGCAGCTAGTCAGAAATGCTGTTTTTTGGGGCGGCAGTAACTTCCACAGAGGGAGGATTTTGAAAAAAATAGGCAGTTAAAAAGAGGAAACAAAACATGTAACAAGAAGCAATAAAAAAACAAACGAACGAACGAATGGAAGGCACATAAAAATTAAACTCAACGAAAAGGAAAATTATGAAAAAAATTAAGCCAGGAATTGAAACCCAATTGAGAAATTTTGTTGGCATTAGGCTTTGAGGCAGTTAAGGGGGAGCGAGTGGCTTGGCTTTTTATCCAATTATAAGATGGTTAGGGGGAGTTCAGTTCAAAAAAGGTTTCAATCCCTAGCTCACACAACAGAATACATTACCGTTAAGAAAACAGTCTTTCTTTTTTCGTGGAAGGACTTAAACCCCCCCCCCATGAAAGTCTTGTTTGATTTTTGGGGGGTCTTGGGTCGTCTGGGATAGAAAAAAACACTTAAGACAGTTTTTTTTTTCGATTTACCAACAACAGAAAAAAATTAAGATATAAAATTTTGAAATTTTTGAAAAATTTAACAACAATTATAACAGCTATATTTTTTTTGTTTCATTTCGTTAGCTTTTGCAAGGATTTTGGTAATACAATTCGAGGTGGTGACTTTTCTCTTGTTTTTGGATTCTATGTTTCTTTATAATTCTATTGTACTTAAGTGCTTTCTATGCGCTCGATTATTTATCTAGTTATTGTATTGCATTATTGCGAAAGAAGAGATACAACATGCCGAGAAAACATGAAGTAAATCCAACCCAGGTGTAGACTTTATTATTCTGTGATTTTATTTCTTTCATTGTTTGTTTTTTCGCAGTGGTCAAATGTGATGTTGTTGATGGTGGTGGTGGTAGTGATGACGTCGTAGTAGAAAAATATGAAGTATTTGCATTCAAGCCATCACTTTGACTTGGGCTTGGGCTGATTTCGGTTGGGTTTAAAGTTGTTGCCGTATGATGAGGAACAACAAGGAGTTCGTTGTTGAGCCTGTCGTCATCGTTGACATTGTCGTTGTTATCAATTTGTCGTCGTTGCCTAATGTGAAAATCGGAAACAGTTTCTTGTGGTTGCTGGCCATGGTTTATTGTTGCATCTAAGCTGCCGCCCTCATGGGGCTCACTGTCGTTTTTCGTATTACTACTACTACTAGTACTAGTAGGAGGTAGGAACTGTTCACTTGTACGCGTATACTGATTGCACTTGGCACACACATTAAATTTGGAACGATTCGGTTTTCTATCGTTAAGGTTGGTAGTGTTTCTTTCGTTATTCTTAAAATCTTCGTTAAACAACTCATCGACATTAGTAGCATCTAAAACAGGGGCTTTATTGGTTTGTTTTTTTGGTTTTTTTTTTTTTTTTTTTTTTTGTGAAAAAGAAAACAAATCAAAATAGAAAAACAAAAAAAAAATCAAATTTAAATCAAAGAAAATCGAGTAGAGTAGAGCGTGTGTGTGAGAAGTAGGCCAACTGAAAATTTTGGTTTTTTTTCTGAGATTTGTGTAAGAACAAGAGAAAGAAGAAAGGTAGAGAAAAATGTTCAAAATTCATGCATTATGAACTCTTGGTAGCAGCGTTTTTCGCTTTAGTACTTTTTTTGTTTTGTTTTGAGGATTAGAGCATCAGAAGTAGTCAAGCGGTTTCCCGTGATATTGCCAACAACAACAACATAGGCGATTTTTCTTCATTGGGTGGGTTAAGACAAAATTTCAAAATAAAAACACTTCAAAGGCTAACACAATTCAAAAAAAAATTTGATGCGGTCATCAAAGTAATACTTACATCCTTTGGAAGACTCCAAACCTTTTTGCAATTCTCTCACTTGGTTTTCCTTGAAATGTAATTCATACATGGCCGATTCACAACGTTTGCGATAATCATTCAAATCTCTGTTGGGAAAATACAGAAAAGAAACATAAATAAATCGTGTTCATACTGATCATAACTTTCGAAGAAACATGAATTTAGGATAGAAATACATTCACAGCGGTCAGAGGAATGTGTGGTGTCATTTTATGGAGAAGTTTTCGAGGGTCTATTTTCATTTGTTATTGTTTTGAGAATAACTAATCCCATTGGGAATGTACCTTTTATACAGGGTGTTCAAATTGATTATAACTTTCGAAGAAGTTTAGGATAGAAATACATTCACAGGGCCCATAGGAATGTGTAGAGCCATTTTGTGGAGAAGATTCCATGGTATTATTGTTTTGAGAATAACTAAATATATAAAATATATTTGCCAACATTTGTGACCCTTTCAGATGGGTGGTTCCAAAGGAATGAACCTTTTATACAGGGTGAGATGAAAAAAAAACTGCAACCAACTTCAGACTGCCTGCATTTCTAAGCCACTGAAAGTATCCCTTTTTACAGATCGCAAACGACCTCTATTCACTCAAGGGCTTTAGAAACTACTTATATGCTTTTAAATAATCCTTAAAAATCTTCCAAACATAGATCGGGATTTTCTTCCGTTTAAAAAATCTCCGAAAGTTTTACTTCATAAACCGAATCATTTATTTTGTGTTATACGGATATACACAAGGTGAGATGAAAAAACTGCAACCAACTTCAGACTACTGTCATTTCTAAGCCACTTGGCGAAGCGACTTGACCGAAACCCGCATCGCAGTGGCCAAAAAATGACTCCGGTCGGCAAATATCGAAAAATGAGCTCATGAGCCATTGAAATTCCAAAAAGTGCAAGAACTTACACCGCAACAGAAAGAAAATAGACTCAAAAGAGCTAAAGAGTTGCTTCGCTTGTCCGAAAGTGGTGAACTGCCGAATACTGGTAGCGTAGCCCGACGTCAAGGAAGTGGACAGAAGAAAGCAGCAACATAAACAAATATGGTTCGAAAAGTAAAGAAGCGACTTGATCGAAATCCGCATCACAGTGGCCGAAAAATTGCTCGTGAGCTGAACATATCGCAATTTCCCATACGGCAAATATTGAAAAATGAGCTCGGGGTAAAGCCATTGATATTCCAAAAGAAAAAGAACTACCGATAGAAAATAGACTCAAAAGAGCTAAAGAGTTGCTTCGCTTGGCCTAAGGTGGAAAACTGGCGAATTTGGTTTTCTCCGATGAGCAAATAGCTGAAAAGAGGTCAGCTGAAAATGTGCACCATCGGTTGGCCACCAGAACTCAAACGCTGGCCATGGTCGTTCTTGTTGTAGCAGTAGTACATGCATGTATTTGCCTTCTGCCAATCTGGTTCCTGCTCTAGGTTTAGAAATTCGGTTACTTTAATGGGCTGTAGTCAGAGATCTTCTGGAGTGAGTTGGGTAGGTTTGGCTGTGCAATTAAAGAGGTGCAGCGTATTGTGCGGGCCTGTATCACACGCCGGGCAGGCGTCACGCACATCTTCATCAATTCGTACCCAATACGAATTGAGACGACTACACCATCCTGAACGTGACTGCGCTAAAACTACCCTGGTTTGTCTAGGCAGCCGACGTTCATCAGCTGCAATGGATGGGGCGTTGTTGTTGTTGTTGTAGCAGTAGTGCATGTGTGTGTTTGTGTTCTGCTAATCTGGTTCCAGCTCCAGGTTTAGAAATTCGGCTACTTTAACGGGCTGTAGCCAGAGATCCTCTGGAGTGAGTTGGGTAGGTTTGGCTGAGCAATTAAAAAGGTGTAGCGTATTGTGCGGGCCTGTATCGCACGCCGGGCAGGCGTCACGCACATCTTCATCAATTCGTGCCCAATACGAATTGAGGCGACTACACCATCCTGAACGTAATTGCGCCAAAACTACCCTGGTTTGTCTAGGCAGCTGACGTTCTTCGGCTGCAATGGATGGGGGGTGGACTCCGAGGACGGCATTCACTTTATAACTGCTCATAGCATCCGCGACTGCATCGGTGTGAATGCCACTCAGACCTGCCTGATAGGCTTCTTGATCTAGAGGCTCTCTCTTGTAGCGCTGGACCTCCCTCTCTAGATCATGTATGTCCTTCCTGACACGCCTGGGTGGGGGAGAGTTATCCACCATATGATGGTTGGGATGACTCTCACGGTAACACCCAAGCAGGTACTGCAACGAAAGCATATGATTATGCTGACGTAAGGGAAGGACTTTCGCCTCCTCATGTAGATGGTCCACTGGTGTCATGAGGAGGCACCCTGTCGCAGTTCTCAGGGCAGCGTTCTGGCAGGTCTGGATATTCTTCCACTGCGTAGCACTAGTATTCGCAGACCACACTGGAGCCGCATAGTTGACCACAGACCGACCTATCGCGTTATAAGAGGTCAACAAGGTTTCTTTGTCCGCACCCCAAGAGCTGCCGGCTAGCGCCTTGAGGACCTTGTTCCTACTTTTCATCTTGTCGCAGATAGCTGTGGCTTGCGCGGACGACTTGAACATGCTGTCGAACGTTACCCCAAGAATCTTGGGGTAGTTCGTGGTCGGTATTAGATTCCCCTCGACCTGAACATTCAGCTGTGTTCTCATCTCCGCAGACCATGTGGTAAAGAGTGTGGCCGTTGATTTCGTGGCGGATATTTTCATATTCCTCGCGTGGAAGTATGCGGCAAGCTCCGCGAGATAGGGGTTCAACCTTTCGCATATGTCATCGACCACTGGACCCGACGCCATGATCGTACAATCATCCGCATACGTTACGATCTCAATGCCGTCTGGAGGGCGAGGAATTCCGGAAAGGTAGAGGTTAAACAGTTCCGGAGATATCACCCCGCCTTGGGGAACTCCCTGTTTCACTCTACGGGCTTTGGACTTCTTGTTCCGGAATTCCACGTACGACTGGCGTCCACACATATAGTTGATTATCCAACGTTTCAAACTTGGCCGGAGGGTAGTTCTCTGTACGTCCTCAAACAGTGTGGCATGATTGACCGTATCAAATGCCTTTGATAGGTCAAGGGCTACCAACACTGTTCTGTCACACGGCCTGTTCTGGTTCAGTCCTGTGTGGAAATGGCGTGTAATGCTGTTGTGGTACTATGTTGTGGACGGAATCCATGCTGGTGGTTGGCAACTGTATAGCTTCCTCTAATGCTGGGGAGGAGTAAAGCCTCAAGAGTCTTTGCTACTGGCGACAAAAGCGAAATCGGCCTGTACGATTCGCCTTTACTGGCATCCTTGCCTGGCTTCAGTAGCGGGACCACCCGGCCCATTTTCCAGGTTTCGGGCACTATGTGGGTGGCTAGCGACAAATTGAGAACTTTCGTTAAGTACTCGACTCCCGGCGTATCCAGCTGCTTCAACATTACCATTGAGATTCCGTCCGGGCCCAACGCTTTGGATGACTTAGCGTTACAGATGACATTTGCAACATCACCCATCGTAAACTGTGGTGGTTCCTCCTCGGCGGGAAGAGATCTGATACGACGTAGTACTCTTCGCTTCGCCCTATCGCTCTCGGGGTGCTCGACAAATTGTCGGTTAAAATATTCCGCGCACCTCTTCGGATCAGTCACCGTTACGTCGTTAAAAGTGACTGAGGTCCTATCATCCTTTTTTCCAGGGTTCGAGAGCGACTTAACCGTTACCCACAGCTTACTCATATCGGTTCCAATGTTGCAGCACTTCAGATGGTCTAGCCACTTTTTCCTCTTATGCTCCTGTACCAACCGGTTGACTTCAACCGTCAAATCACTGATTCTAGGATCAGTAGGGTTGGTACGACGGAGATCATCACGCTCGTTTGCTAATCCCGCTGCCTCTGCTGGGAAGTTTGGTCTTATCTCGGGTATTCGACCAGCAGGTATATAGCGAGCGGCTGCAGCTCTGATGATGTTTCGGAAAATCCTTTCTGCTACCCGAACATCAGAAGGGTTGGGCAGTTCTCTGAAGCGGCGGTTGGTGAATTCTCTGAAGTCTGGCCAGTGAGCTTTCCCATGGTTAAGGAAAGTGCGGCGTTCAGAGGTTATGAAATCGGGCGACCTGCTTATGGAGACGATTATCGGGAGATGGTCTGAGCCAAGAGAAATGACGGGTTGCCAAGTCACGTCATTTATCAGACCGGGTGACACTATGGTTAAGTCTGGCGAACTGTGACACTCTCCTCTTATTCGGGTGGGGGCATCCTCGTTAACCGTGCAAAATGTGGAGCAGTCAATCTGCTCTGCTAGCGCTGATCCCCTCTGGTCATTACCTAGGACGGAATGCCACAACTCATGGTGGGCATTAAAATCCCCTAGTACCAGGCGGTTATTGCCTACCAATAATGGGCTAATATCAGGCAAATAACGCGGTTCACAGCTATTAATCGGCGGGATATACACATTAAGCACCTCTACCTCGGCAGTTCCACACTTGACTGCTACCCCCATACATTCCATGTATGGGTCACTAGAGACTAGCTCAAGCGAGATAGGTCTGTACTGAACAGAATGGTGTAACAGGAACGCTAATCCCCCACCTCCACTTCTGGTGCGATCCTTCCTTAGTACGTTGTAACCATAACAACGTTGTAGGCTGCAATTTTCATTCAGCTTGGTTTCCTGCACCGCTGCGATCTTAATATTCCTCCGACTCATAAATTCCACTATCTCATCTATTTTGCCTCGAAGTCCGTTGCAATTGAATTGCAAGAATGATGCACAATCCGGAGTTGGAACAGCAACATGTGGCGTTAGGTGCTGCGGTGTTGGTTGCTGTTCTGGAGACTGCGGTGGAGTGCCATACTCCGACGACGTCTCTGACGAGGGCGACGAAGAAGAGGACTCGCTGGGGACTACGTTACTGCAGCAAGTCGCAAAATAATCCCTTTCGCTGTAGTCTCGCAAACGCCTTAATCCGGAACAGTTCTTGAAGTGCACCCACTCTCTGCATCCATTACATCGCACCGAGACAGATCTGTGGTGGATGACGTTCTGACAAACCGAGCAGAACCAAGGTCCGGGGTTTTCCTCAATCCCGGCACGGACCAATAAAATCCGGAGCAAGCATTCCGGGATATGCTGCTCCCAATGCAGAAAAATAAACAAACACAAACATGTACATACTGGGTTGGCAGCCGCTGGCCGAAACTGGAATCTTGTTGTTTCGGGTCAATCCGGTATCGTAGAACCCGCTGCCGTGGGATTGTGGATGGGGCGTGGACTCCGAGGATGGCATTCATACTGTAATTGTTTACTTGGCTTGGCTTGGCTTCCTTATCTAGGGGCTCTCTCTTATATCGCTGGACATATCTCTCTAGATCATGGCTTGGCTTGGCTTCCTTATCTAGGGGCTCTCTCTTATATCGCTGGACATATCTCTCTAGATCATGCAGGTCCTTCCTGACACGCCTGGGTGGGGGAGTTCTTTTCACCATATGATAGTTAGGATGACTCATACGATAACACCCAAGCAGGTACTGCAACGAAAGCATATGATTATGCTGATCGTGGAAATATCCTGGAGGTTGTATTTAAGCCTTGGGCACACAAACATTTGTGCCGAAGACCTTGGACATTCCAACAGGACTCAGCACTATCGCAATCAGCACGCACCACCCAAGAATGGTTACAAAATAAGGTTCCTCGCTTCATTTCCAGCCCACAATGGCCACCAAAATCTCCGGATACCAATCCGTTGTGGACAATTGTGTCTGGAATATTTTGGAAAGCAAGGTTGGCACTAAAAATACCAAGGTGTCGATCACCTCAAGCAAGCGCTTCGCCGGGAATGGGCCAAAATACCGCAGAGCAACATTCGGGCAGCGTATGATGGGTTAATTGGCCATTTGAAGGCCATAATTCGTGCCAAAGGTGACAAATTCGAACAAATCTAAACTTATTTTAAAATTTGATGCTATTTCCGACATTATTTGCTTTCATTCAATAAAATTTAAAAATGTATAAAAATTATGTCAACGCCATTGTTGCAGTTTTTTATATCTCACCCTGTACTGATATAAGTTTGGCAGTCCTGTACGAGTTTTTTTACAATGTTCACTCTATGTATGGGAGGGAAGAAGTGCTTCAAATATGCTGAATCTTGGCTATTGTTATATTTTAATAACTTGTTGGGGGGTCTTAGCTGTTGGGTACACGTTTGGATGCAAGCTAGGAGATTCCGTTGTTTAGTACGTGTCAGAAAAAATTGGAACAGTAACGATTTAGCTCTTTACAAAGTTTTAATCAAATGGAGAATGCCTTGGTGTTAATATTTTCACCATTTTTTCTGAGGTAGGTACGGAAAATGGTGGAAAATGTGATCCCAATTCAAATTAGATCTAGATTTGAAACCAAGATTTAGCTCTTTACAAAGTTTAAATCAATTGGAGAATCCCTTCGTGTTAATATTTTCACCATTTTTGCTGGAGTAGGTACGGAAAATGTTGGAAAATTTGATCCCAATTTAAATTTGATCTAGTTTTGAAAGCAACATAACGTTCTGCCAAATTTGTTATCTTACAAAACATTTTTGATGCAAACCAAAGCAAAAAAGAACTCTTTTCCAACTTATGTTTTCAACTTCAACTTATGTTTTATACGTTTGCTTACTTCTGTGTTGCCATCAGCTCGGCACGAGTTTTACTCAATTCATCAGATATAGCTGCCTTTGCCTGAATTTCGGATTGCAAAGAGGATTGCAAATTAAGCAATTCCATTTTATCCAATTTTTGGGATCTTCGATTGCGCCAATTCTTGTTATTGTCGTTATTCTTTTTATAGAATGGACCTGCAATGAAAACAAAACGCAAATAAATAGAAGAAAACGGCAAATCTCCAAGGTACCTACCAGAATGTTTTAGATATTCCAATTCTTCGGTCATTTTTGTGGCCAAGGCCTGTAAATAGCTGCGGGCATCTTTTTCATCCGATACCCATTGTATGATTTCTGACATTTGTTTCTCCCACTGGCCAATGGCCTGGCGTTTCGATCTGTAAACAAAAAACACCATTTAGTAAAAAAGTGATAACAAAAAAACATTTAACTCACTTTAGCTCTTCGATATTGTCCTCATATTCACTTTGCTTCGCCTGAATTTGTAGAGTTTTTTGATTTTGCAATTCCATTTCCATGAGCAGCCTTTGCTTCTCTTCTATCCACATATTACGATCCTTGTCGTAATCCTCTTTTAGCTCACTTATTGTGTCTGTGGTATCACTCAATGTTTCCAATTTATTGCTTTCGTATTTCTCACGTGACTGTTGCAGTTCATTGAGTAGGGTTTCCTGATACTTTTCCGCCTCTTTAAGCTGTTCGCGTAATGCCGAAATTTCCAGATTATATCTAGCCTGTTGTTGATTCAATTTCTCCGTACACTGGATTTCGATGCGTTCGATTTCGTAGCGTGTTGCATCGGAATTGAAATTATTTGCAGCTCCACTTGCAGCATAGGAAGACGAGGCATCGGAATTTTTCTTTTTATTCAGTTCCTCTTGGAGTTGGCGGCAGAATTCTTCTGTGCGTTCTCGTTGCTTCTTTTCGGTGGCGATATCGGTGAGGGCGTCTTCCATGCGCATTTCCAGCTCACGGCGACTTTTGTCGGACTTTCTCAAGTCCTGGCGCAGCTGGTCGATTTTTTTCATTACCGTCTCCAGTTCTTCTTCTTTGTCGCGCACCTAAGAACCCCAAAATATATATTTTTACCAAAGTTAATTTATATTTTTATTCCAAATATACTAACCTGCCGTGATAGTTTCTGCTTTTGACTTCTCAATTCCGACAGCTTATCCGTGACCTCTGAATATTCCATCATGGCCAGATTTCTTTGGCTTATTGCATCCTTGAGCTCAGCATCCTGCTGTTTTATTCGATCCAAGGCATCATTGTATTCTTTGATTATTTCCAACTTTTCGCGTTTTAATTCGTTCAGCTCCTTGTCCAGCTCTTGCAGACGGGCCTTTGAAATGCTATTGTCGCTCTCTTTATCACCTGAGGAGTTAGTGCTACTACTATCTAATTCTTGTTTCTTTTTGGTAAATATTTTCAATTCGTTGAGAATTTGGCGTGTGCATTCGGGAGAGAGATTCTTCTCGTTAAGTAATTCTTGTTTTAGGGTATTATAAAATGAAAGATCAAATCCTTCAATACTGTCCTCTTTCGTCGAGGTTAGACTACTTATGTCTAGCTTGCCCAAATCCGACATACAACTATTCTGGGTGAAGGTGAAACCAACAAAGGGTAAATGAAACCCTGAAAATGCAGGATTGGCGGCAGGTGGTACTGAATCTGAATGGCGTATGGTATTGTCATCAACATCAAAATTGGAAGTATCGGTGGGACTGTCCACATCTGGTACATAGGGGGCCGGTCCCAGGCGTATATTGTCCCAATCTAAGCCCTCAAACCAGGGATGGGCCTTAAAATCTTCGATGCCATTGCGACCCAAACGAAATTCCGGGGCACATATCAAACGCCTTATTAAATCCTTGGCAGCATCTGAAACCTTTTGCAGACCATCTTCAGGTGGAAAATCGAAACAATTCTGATGATTCATAATCTTGCCATAGGTTTCCACCAGACTTTCGGCATAAAACGGAGTCTCGCCATAGAGCATTTCATACATACACACACCCAAAGACCACCAATCACATTCGGCTCCATATCGACCCTGGCCATCTTCCATGGCCCTTAGAATTTCGGGGGATATATAATCGGGAGTGCCCACAGCCACATTTGATTGGACTTTACCATCGGCACCCAAACGCAAACAAGAACCAAAATCTGCCAAACGTATGTGGCCATTAACATCAATGACCAAATTATCTGGTTTTATGTCCCGATGGACATAACGCAACTGATGTATACTATGGATGGCCAATATTATTTCGGCTATATAAAACTTAGCCATATCTTCAGGTAGACGATCCTCAAATTTGCTTAGCAATGTTAGGAGATCGCCTCCGCAATAATAATCCATAACTAAATACTACAAAACAAAAGGGCATTTGAAATCATTCCCATTGGCTATAAAGAGTTGACTTACCAAATTGGTGTCATCTTGAAAGGCATAATGTAAATTTGTAATCCACTGGCGATCGCCATAGACCAATACATCACGTTCCTCGCGGAAACAGGCAGTTTCGGCCCTCTTCAACATCTCCCATTTGTTCAGAATTTTCATGGCATAAATTTTCTGGGTGCTTATCATGCGTACCACACACACTTCTCCAAAAGCACCGCGGCCAATGATTTTTATAATCTCAAAATCATCTCGAGACAAACGTAATTTCTTAACCAAAGAAACCACAGGTTTAGCTGAAACAGTCCAGATCATAAACACACATCCAAATATAGCAGCAGCATATCCATTTCAAATCCTCTTACCAATTTTTATAAAATCTGATACAGTCTTCTCTCTTCTAAGCGATGAATTAGAACATTCATCGTAGAGCAACAGTAAGGCATCCAATAGTGTCTCCACCGATATTGCTTTGCCATGGGGGAAATTTTCATCCTCACCACCATCCCTATCCTTATTGTCGGCCACAACTTGTGACATGCCATGTTCCAATATAACCGATTCGAGTATTTTCAATCGCCTTGTACACGACGATTCTTCAAGAGATTCTAGAGCAAAACACAGAAACGAAAAAAAAATCGTAAAAGAAATGAAATAAAACAAAAAATACGTAAATATGTATATTAATTTCGTAGACCAAAAAATTGGTGTCGTTGTCGTCTTCGTTGTCTTTTATAGTTGGGATGTCTAAATATACATATATAGCTAGCTCTGCGTGTACATATATATATGTAGGTAGGTACGTATATTTTTTTCATTTTTGGGGACAACACCACATTCAATCAGTCATATTGGGCTGATACAAGGGAGTTCCATCATCGATCTTTACAATGTTGCAGTTTATAGATGTGTGCAGTCAATCAATGCCCAATAGAGGCAATATCTGACCCCGATATTTATGTGCATTCCCCAAAACGATGGAATTCATTTTTCTTCACTTTTTGTTCATTCATTCATTGTTTCTTCGGCAAGACACACAACAGCAGCAGGCGTCAAGGGGGTGAATTTTTTCATGCCAATAATATTTTGCTATTATGTAGGCGTGTGTGTGAAATCGAAACAATTTTCCAAGGCATTTTTACAACAATTTCTTGCTTTGCTTTGTTAATATTTATATTCTTTGGTATTATTGCAATATTTACCACAAAATTCTGACATTTTTATTTTCACATTTGACGTTCTTTATATACATTAATTGTTCTTTCTTTTAGATTGGGTCTATGATCTAAATCTATAGTCGAATCGATTCTTCAACTAATCGATTAATGAGAGACATGGGAATGAAAAAAAAAAAAAAACGAAAATGAAATCGATTATTTAATATTGATATTCTATCGATGTCATCACTCTGACACTTGGGTGGGCATACTAGGTGCACACATGCCAATTTTTTGTGGGAGAAAATTTTTGAGCATGGCATGGCGACACAACAATTTGCAAAGCCAAGAATCTACTAGTTTGGCAATTTTCTCCGATTTCATAAAGGAAAATTCGCTTATCGTAGTAAAAACTATTCAGTTCCTGCAGTTCTGAATCAGACCAATTGTCTTCTGTCAGAGTTGCATATAACAACTCATGCATTCTGGCCGGTTCATCGCTGACAAGTACTTTAAAAAGATTTTTCTTTACGTTATTGGGGACAAAACCACAGTAATAGGTAGACCTCTGATCCCTAGATAAAGCGAAAAAAAACTTTTAAATTCTTGCAGTTTTGGAACAGGGCATGTGTATGTGCTGTTTTGAGAAATAAAAAATTAATATTTTCAAATTTTGCTAAAACTAAACTTCATACTTACATCTCATGGAGAGAAAAAATCTCTGCATTTTGAAATGAAAATAAAACGCGACCATATTAAGAACTCGATATTGTGAAAAATCAGCTACATATAACGTTTCGTGATTTTTTTCTTAAATAGTGGCAGGAACAACTCCTTGCCCTTATTAAAAATCTAGCTTCAGAGTTGTGTTTTTCAAATTTAATAAATCTGTCCACCTTGTAATTATTGTTTCATATGTATATGCATTGGATTGAGTAATATATAAAATAATTTTAAATATTTTAATTATTAATATTATTATTTAAATATTTTCAATTTACAGCTTTTACGGGAAATCAATTTTTGAGTTTTGAGATGAAACAACATTTGAATCATATGATGAGCTCGATATTGTAAAAACCTTTGACGTTCCTATCAACAATTTTCTCTAAAATTTACAAAAAATAAATAAATAGTTTTAAATAGCATTGGTTTGTTCCAGAACCGCAAGAATGTAAAAGTTTTTCCTACGACAACCGAGCAAGTTTTATTAGTAACTTTCCGGTTATCTGTTTCTAGCTTTAAATAAGTTTTAAAATTTGGACAGCCTCATGGTAGAAGAATGCGGGTGGATGCATAAACGCTTGGGAACAATGATATGTCAAAATATTTCAAATGTTTTTTTTAATAATTAGATTTGTATTCCCATATGATTTGTTTTCCCATACGACGCAAATTGAAGGTTTTTAAAAACGGTTTGCTGTGTCAATGCGACTACCTGTATTCCTCTTCCATGTCTTACCTTCTGTATCGGTTATGCTTACTTTTAATCGCTTTGTCACGATAAGCGTCATTTTATTATTAATTTGACGCAAAATCAATAATCAATTATCTCAGCAAATGTCTTCAATGTAAACGTAGCCTATAATCTTGCATTAAATACGGCAAGGACGATCGGACATGGTTTAAATTCTGCGCCCCACAATCTGCGTTTCTTCCAATCATTGATTTTGAAAATATTTTGTTTTTAGTTGTCAAAACGTTTAACACATACACAAAATTGGCAGAAATCAAGCACCCTCAGAAAAAAAATGTAATCAGCTGGTAGCTCTACCTTACCTTTTTATTGTACCATGTATGGAACCGTGGTTCAATAAGAAAGGTTGTTCAACTTCAAAGAACCTAAAAAATTGCAACTCTGTGCTGGAGTCTTTAGTGTCAAATAGATTTTTATATATGCAACAGTTGGTTTGGTTTATTTTTCATTTCTAACAAAATTCTTATATTATATTATTATTATAGGAAAAACGCGAAAAAAAATGGAATTTTGGGTTTATTCACAAGATTGAACCTAAAATAATAGGACAATATAGTTTAATCCAAAATAAACTCAAGGGTAATATTAAATCGTTGACATGTCATTTTATTGCTGTCGTTTACCTTCATATCACTTTGAGAAGTTATCGACAAACGCTGACGGCCGGCGACGCAATTGTGCACCAACACTTGAGTTTTCATTTGCAAAAGCGTTTGATGTAGCAAGACAGTCGTTTGGCAACCGTCGGAGCACGTCGTCGCATTTTTCATTTTTATATCGACCGAAACACACGCTGCTGCACGTCGACGCATTTTTTTTATATCGTCGGTCTACACACCCTAAATTATCTAAAGAAAAATGGTAAGATTTACAGAAATACTGGTGAAAATAATTGCCCATGGGCAAAATCTATGTGTAATTATTGTTATTAGTGGGCCGAAGAACCCGGTAAAGAAAATAAAAAAGTTTATGACCGGTGAAAAAAGTACTGAGAAATCCGCATATTACCAATGAAAGAAAATGGCAAATGTAGACGGCAAACACCGCACACATACATCGACAAGCGCGCACAATATAGTTATACATACAAGCAAAAAAAAAGCGAATGGGGAGTAAAAAGATGAGACATTTTTTTAACGGAAGACAACCGACCCCCTCTAAGCAATTTGATCAAGGAATTAATAGATTAATATCTTTCAGTTTTCATTTTTTTGGAGGTTATAATATCTAAAAATATATATGTTGTTCACCATATGTATAGATATATGAAATTCATAAATTCAACGACCACACGCCGTTTAAAAATAGCCTTATAAGGTCAGAAATATATCGTCGTCGTCGTTGTACCAAAAACTCAAGAGAGAGTGAGAGTACGGCAACGACGACGCCTCTCACCATTTTGCCAGAATAAAAATGGCGAAATTATCATTATATTCACGGCTTTTGCAAAAACAAAAAAGAGCCGTTTTTCTTGATTAGATATTTGGGTTTTATTTTTGCCAATTTTTTTATTGGAATAAATTGCGAATTTGATGTATGCGGTTGGAAAAGCTGCAATCTGTGGTCGTTTTCCCCTTGATTGCAATGAGGAAATGAGTTGCTGCTGCATCAGCAGTTGTACAGCTCTGTGCTTTCATTTTTGACAATTGTGATCTGCCAAAACGACAGCGCCAGTGCCACCGACCCGGTCTTTTTGGGGGTGTTGCAAATCGTAGTAAATATATATACACGTATTATATATGTATGTATATTTGTATGTATTATATATAATAGGATGTTTTGGGCGTGGTTAGAATTCATGTTGACTGATTCTTGTTTTGTTTGTGTTTTCTTTTTATGCTACCCCCCGCCCAGGCTTCAGGAGTCACCGTGTCAGATGTCTGCAAAACGACCTACGAGGAAATCAAGAAGGACAAGAAGCATAGATATGTCATTTTCTACATCAGAGATGAAAAGCAAATCGATGTAGAAACAGTTGGTGAACGTAACGCCGAATACGATCAATTCTTGGAGGATATCCAAAAATGCGGTCCCGGTGAATGCCGGTAAGTAGACAACAAAGCAAACACACCATGTAACAACATATGTATAGAGCTTAGCGTTACTCTTCTTCACTACTGTTTCGTTTCTAATGCGCACCACACACAAAACCAACCAACAACCCTCCCTTTTTATGCTTCTTTTTCCGTTTATTTTGTTGTAGTTATGGTCTTTTTGACTTTGAGTACATGCACCAATGTCAAGGTACCTCAGAAAGTTCCAAAAAACAGAAACTTTTCCTTATGTCCTGGTGCCCCGATACCGCCAAAGTAAGTCTTGTATTTTGATATGAAAATCGCCTGTTTAATTCTTTTTCTTGTGACTTGCTAAACTAATGTAATAATTTTTTCTGCAATTTCCGTTCGATAGGTAAAGAAGAAGATGTTGTACTCCAGCTCATTCGATGCCTTGAAGAAATCGCTTGTCGGTGTACAAAAATACATACAAGCCACTGATCTTTCTGAAGCTTCCCGTGAAGCGGTCGAAGAGAAATTACGCGCCACTGACCGTCAGTAAGATAAAGATGAATGAATGAATTCTGTTTTAAAAATCATCATTAAAAACACCACCACAAACAACCACTCTACCCAGAATCCAATTACATCAAACAACAAGAAAACACAAAACAACAACAACAACAACCAATATTTGTATTTTGAAGCAGAAATATGAAAAGAAAAACTATTTAATTTCAGCTTTTTATAAATAATAATAATTTAATAATAATAAAAAAAGGAAAAAAATAAAAGAAAACTCTCTAGTATGGACTATTATTTATTGGCAAACTTGATATTTGCGTTTTCTTCATCTATTTGCACAAAAAAAAAATCAAAATCAGCAGAACGAAGAGAGTTGAGTGAGTTGTGACTCACTTGGTTTCTTTCGGCACACACAAATGACGACGATGAGTCATTTTCTTTCTTTACCCCCATTATCATCGGACAACAACCAATCAACGGCACAACAAAATTAGTCACTTTTTTGAGTTAAAAACGAAATGAGAGCGAGCGAACAAACCATGCGAATTTTGTTGTTGTTGTTGCTTGATTGTGACTTGATTCATATTTTATTATTGATTGAAATTATCTTTTTATTTGGAATAGATATTGGAGTTATTTTCAAGTGCATTGGAAAATTACAAATGAATCAAACCTTTGAGGGTGGGGTAAATATTGTTGACATGTTTTCTTGTTGGGGAACTGTCTTTATTACCTATGTGGAAACAGAAAGTAAGGATAATTTTGAAATCATGTCGAGCGATAGGAATTATTTGTTCGTCCTTTTGCATTACAGCTATTGGGTATGGACTTTGAGTAAAAGAAGAAAAACTATTATAATTTCGGAAAAAAGAGAATTCCAAAGGATATTGACAATTGTTTGAGAAAGATATATTTAAAGAATACGAAATTTTCGGCTAGTAATCAATGACTTACTTGAGAATCATTCACAGGAAGTTTATAGCATATACAAACCTCGTGAGTCTTCCAAAATATTAAGTAGAGTGATACTATCTTCTTCCATTATTACACTCCTTTAACGGGCAGGAGTAAGAAAAACAGCCTTTTCAGGAAAACGACCGCTGAGAAAGGAACATTTTCTTGGTTCATCCCCTAAAGTTTGTGTTTGACTTCCGAGCAAAGAAATATTTTTATTTAAAATGGAAATTTTAAATCTGTGGCGTATACATACGTATGTATGTATATAATCCATCTGCCATGCAGACGTCCATTGTCTCAGCAATCACTGAACTCTTTATGGGGTTATAAAACATTCTATAATATATTATTTACATTAGCTAATGAAATGGAAGAAATCTTGGAAGAAACACATTTCTCTCCCACTCTAGGCGATCTCGGTAATTATACAAAATGTACAGGGTGCGATGTATGTGTATGTTAAAATTGAATTCAACCACACTGGTGGTGGTGGTGGTGCTGAATGAAAGATACCATTCAATTTAGGGTGAATGAAATGTTTGTTATTGTTTGTCGAATGTATTTTATAGATTTTGTGTTGTGGGGGAGGCTGTTCTTGTTGTTGTTTTTTTTGTATCTAATGATATTACTCTATAAATAGCATTCATTCAAACCAAAATCACTTTAAACAGCTGCGCGTGGCAATAATTTGTATGGGAGAATTAAACTTTTCTTTTGAAAATAAATTCCTTTGAGCAAAGGCATTTCAAGTATGTCCATTTCCAAAACATGGATTTTATTTTATAGGTAAAAAATTACTTCATTTTTATTGCTTAAAATAGTTCACAGAACCCTTGTTAATACGCTTAAACGGTCGCATGCGTATACGTTTGGCGAATGATTTGATGAAACTTTTCTCTTTATTATATTCCAAAGGTTGATAAAGAGGGCCTTCCGTTTCTAAGAAGATATCAAGGCTATACATGGTACGCAACAGTTGCAAGGCCAACAAATTTCCCTGCTTGCAATCTTTGATTGCATTCGTGTAGTGTTCCATAACCTAACAGAAGAGAGAAGAATGAATGACTTATTGCATGGACAAAAATTATATTCCACAACTTACCTTAATGGCTGAATTATTTAATGCATTATGATGGCCATTCCAATGGACAGTTATGGACCACAGTGGTATATTAAGGGGATATTTATTGGATAAACTGATAAGGCATTCCATTTTGGCCGATCCCAAAACAATAACAGCCCTAAAGAAACTACAATATTCATCGACAATTCTTTCCGCAACGAATGGTAGGGTGGACGGTGAACTTTCATATTCCTCCCATGACACTGCCGACCACTGGACCAGAGTGCAATTTGGTTTTGCTTGGTTGACTTTTTCACCACCACCACCACCAGCAATGTATTCATCAATATTCTTGTTCATAAATGCTCGTATTTGAGTTATCAGTTGATGGCGTATTTGAAAGTAATTGCGTATACGTTTTACACACTCTAATGTGAAATCTTTGAGCTTTTGGTTCTGCATGTCATTACATTTGGTATTGTTGAACGAGGAGTTTCCAATCATCTTTTGCAACCATTGGTAGGGTAAACCCAAATTGTGTTTAACCAAATTATGCTTGAAGTCTTCCAATTTGATGTTGTGTTTCTGTAACTACATAAATATTTGCCGAAAAAAATAAATATTTTTAACAAAATAAGTTTAATTCAGTCAATCTCACATTTAAACTTGTTTCGGAATATGGCAAAGATTCACCCAAGTCGTCTTCATTTATAAATTTTAAAAAGTCTTGCAGCAAATTTGTCTCCATTAAGTTGGTGTTATTTTCACATAAACGTATCTCACAGTGGGCCGTGGCAATCATCAATAAAGGCAAATAATAGATATCCACCACCACAAAATCTTCCAAGGTTTCTTCTTGACTGAGCTGAAAATATATCGATTTTTTTTTTTTACTTTGGATAGCCACCAAAACATTGCAACCTACCTTTATTTGCAATGAAAGAGGATGGGGTTTCGTTAGGAATGATTGCTCCAATTCTTCCGAAGACTTCAATTTTATTTTAGCTTCATATTCCCGGACTTCATCTTCATGGCCATTCACGCTGACCTTAATACTACCCTCCAGCATTTCAATGGCTCTTAAATTCACATAAGTCATATATAAATTATGCTGTAACATGTGAACCTTGTTTTCCAACGTCCATTTTTGCTCAATTGGCAACTGCAGCGCCTCTTGCAGGGGACGTGTCGCTTTGAGCAGTGTCCTAAGCGATGGAGCAAACGTTGAAAGATTTTCCATTTTATTAATAATTTCATGGAAAACTTTTGTCTTATCATTTAGCAGATTTTTACAATCATTGGACAATTGTTTGCGTAAGTTCAGCTCCCGTTCCAAACGATTTATACGCTCCTTATGTGTCATGTCGGAATCAGCCAAAGCAACCTTAGTTCCTGGTGGTTCATAGATATCAATATCTTCATCTTGACTCTTGAATTTATAGCATTGCTTTATTTCCCTTTTCAGGTAATTCACTTCATACAACAGATTCTGCAAATGCAAACGATTGGCATCCACCAGGGTCTTTTGGGCCTGCAGCTCCTCACGTCCAGAACGCACCTTATACTTTACCAGCCGATTAACTTTTTTAATCAACACAAACAGCAAAGAGCCGGTTTTGATTTTTTCCTCCAAATCAACTCGCTGCAAATAAATTGAAATTAATCTCTTGTCATGGTACCGGTATCCATGAAAATGCATTGACATACCGAGTCTTTTGGATTGTTTTTTGCCTGGAGACATTCCGTGAACAGGACTTTGAGTAAATCAAAGTTTTGATTTAGAATGTTGGCCATTCTAAATAAATATTAATTTGATTTTTCAATAATTTGAAGTCAATATATTTTATTTTTTTAATAAATAAGTACCCGGAGTCTTTGCTTTCTTTCTATTTTTTATCGGGTATTCCTTTGTGGCCTTCATATTCGTTTCGTTGGGACGTTTTTCATTTTTGTTTCCAACGCTCGCAACTAACAACTAACACTGCCTTTACACGGTGACATTTTTTAACCCTGCCATTTTTTTGTTGGTAAAAGGTGTAGAGAAGAAAAAATGGCACGATAAGCCACCGCACAGGGTTACATGCAATTTTCTTTGCATTTCTCTTTTTGCTTCTTCCGAATTTTTTATGATTTTGACATTTCATATCGTTTTTTTATTGTAATTTTTGATGCGTTTCTTTTATTGTGATGTTATGTTTTTAGTGACTGAATTGTATAGTGAATTATATGAAAATTAATTGGAAGTATTAAAAAGTAAAAAAAGAAAGTTAAAATAAAAGTTAATAATGCAATATTTAACACCTCAATAACTTTTTCCATCATTTCTTCTTTAGATTCACACATTTAATTTTAAATCACTTCTTTATAAATATCTGTTACAAACAATTAGCTCTATACGAAATACTGAATAAAATAAAATGTCAGAAAAAATGCCAGGCACTATTATCGTAAAATGCCACCGTGTAAAGGCGCGAAGATTTACGCAGAAATTTTAAAAGAGAATTGATAAAAATGCCAGCTAAAAATTGCACCGTGTAAAGGCAGTGAAGGATAGAAAAAAAATGGCACGATAAGCCACCGCACAGGGTTACATGCCATTTTCTTTGCATTTCTCTTTTTGCTTCTTCCGAATTTTTTATGATTTTGACATTTCATATCGTTTCTTTATTGTAATTTTTGATGCGTTTCTTTTATTGTGATGTGTTTAGTGATTGAATTGTATAGCGAATTATATGAGAATTAATTGGAAGTTTTAAAAAGTAAAAAAAGAAAGTTAAAATACAATAACTTTTTCCATCATTTCTTCTTTAGATTCACACATTTAATTTTGAATCACTTCTTTATAAATATCTGTTACAAACAATTAGCACAACAATACAGCTCTATACGAAATACTGAATAAAATAAAATGTCAGAAAAAATGCCCAGCACTAATATCATAAAATGCTACCGTGTAAAGGCGCGAAGATTTACGCAGAAATTTTAAAAGAGAATTGATAAAAATGCCAGCTAAAAATGCCACCGTGTAAAGGAAGTGTAACAACTAAATGTCATGGCGAATATATATTTTTCGCCTTAGATGCCAATTTTGACATTTGAGGGTACCGCAAAAGTTGCTTTGTTGTAGCAATTCGCCGATGCGGTTACCTTTTAGATCTACCTTGGAATTCTCAACATTCTATTAATTCTTTTAAGATGTTGTTGTGCTATACACAACAATAACAATACTTCAATACTATTTGTTCTGCGTGTGTTGTCAAACTCAAATTATTCAATTAACCAATTGCTCCCAATACGTGTGTTTTTTTTCAACGAGAAAAAATCTGGCTGCTAAATTCACATTTTATTATCGGTATATATTTTTGTGATATTTTCGTTTGTTTTATAAAATTACATAATAAAATAATATTGTTTACAATACAATATCGTTCGTGATTGACCAGCGACCAGCTGGGACACAGTGATAAGGCGACGCAAAGATAAACACCCAATATAAACTATCACGTACCGAACCATCTTCTCAGGCAGATACAATAACAATCTAATGTGCTATTAGATTGTGATGTTGTTGTAATTTTTCGTTGTTTGTTGGATCATTAAGATTAACAAATATTGAAAAATGGCTGAATCATGTTAACGTAGCACTTAATTTGTAAGCAGTAAACATTTTAACAGAAAGTCATTTCTCCTTCTCACTTTTAGGAGTAAACGTGTACGAGAATGAATCTAAAGGCCTGGTCAGCAGTACTGGGAGTATTTATAGGATGCTGCAGTAATGTCATATTCCTGGAGCTTCTTGTCAAGTATGTTTTTACATCCATATGAATAGAATAATTTTTATTAATTGAATTCGTGTTTTTTTGTTAGATATGACTCTGGTTCGGGGAATCTCATAACATTCTCACAATTTTTATTCATTGCCATAGAAGGTTTTATATTTACTTCGAAATTCGGCAAGGTCAAACCGGTAATTGGCTTTAAGGATTATGCGATTTTGGTCTTGATGTTCTTCGTCACCAGCGTTTGTAATAATTATGCATTTGACTTTAATATACCGATGCCATTGCATATGATCTTTCGGGCCGTAAGTTGACATTATCTTTTTTGGTGGAAAGAAATACTGTATTTTTTGTTATTTTCTAGGGATCTCTGATGGCCAACATGATTATGGGTATTTTAATACTTAAAAAGAAATATGGCATTTCCAAGTATATTTCGGTAATATTAATTACAATTGGTATTATTACCTGCACCATGGTATCGGCTTCTAAAGTGGTATGTTGTCTAGTTTTTAGTTCTTTATAGGTATACAACCTTATCCAAGGCTATGTGGCTTTCTTATGGAATATACCTTAATATTAACTTTTCCTTCTCTATTTTAGGAAGACACCAGTAATCCTAAACTGCGCAAAGAAACCCCGTCCGAGGAAAATACCTACTCGGTTGTATTTTGGTGGTGTGTTGGCATTGGAATATTAACTATTGCCCTACTGATTTCAGCCTGCATGGGCATTTATCAAGAGGTACTCTATAAAAAACATGGCAAACGTTCTAGAGAGGCTTTGTACTATACGGTGAGTTGAATTTTTAAACAAACTTGAATTCTTTTGACCAAAAAATTGTCTTTTACAGCATTTATTACCCCTACCCGGTTTCCTTTTGATGGGTTCAAACATTTGGCAACATCTTGTGATTAGCGCCACCAGTGAACCTCTAATGGTGTTGGGTGTCAACACCTTTGTGCCGGAACAAATAATCTATTTAATATGTAATATGATAACACAATATGTTTGCATTAGCTCCGTTTATGTCCTAACGGCTGAATGTAGCTCATTGACGGTCACCCTAGTTGTTACGTTGCGTAAATTTGTATCGTTGGTCTTTTCGATATTGTATTTTAAAAACTCATTTACTTTATACCATTGGATTGGCACAATTTTAGTGTTTACCGGTACCATGATATTTACTGAGTCCTATCCCAAGTCTATGTTTATGAAAAAGGAACAAAAAGAGGCTAGCAAAAAAGTTAAGGCATCTTAGATATGAAACCAGTTTGTTATTGGTTCTTTTGTTTTGTTATGATATTATATAGCTCAACTAACAAGCTTGTATATATATACAAATAGGTTTTAAATTAACACAAATTAATGTCCGTGCTTTAAGAATTTAGAAGAAACAGAAAGGGAGAGAGAGAGAGAAAATTTATTCGGACAATATTTTATATACCTAGTTCAAGTTACATTTTTTACCCATTTATCCAAAAAGAAAAGAACAAATATCCCACTACATTGCATTATTATTTTTTTTTTTTTTTTTTTTTGTTAAAAAACCAAGAGAAAACAATTTTTTTTTTATTAAAATAATTTGTAACCAAAACAAAAATTTATTGGTCTTGATAAATTTTCAATGAAAATATTTTTAGCCATGCATAAGTAAACAAAAAATGCAATTTTTTAAATAAAAAAAAATTATAAAAATATAACTACTTCATGTTTTTTTTCAACTAAAAAATAGACCTTGCTTACCAAACTTTTTACAAATTTTCAATATTTTTTACTAAAATAGGTTCTTAAATGTGTGTGTGTGTTTTTTTTTGTTTGATGTTATAAAAGAGAGAATTCATTTTAATTAATTATTATTTTCTTTTATTATTGTTTGTTTGTTTGTTTTGAAACATCATTCACTTAAAAAGAAATTATGATGTTAAGGGGATTGATTCTTAGATTTTTTTGTTTGTTTTTTTTTTTTATTAAAAAGAAAATCAAATTTCCTTAATGTATAAATTAAATATTTATATATATGAAATCTTGTTTCTATATAGTAAGTATATATATATATGTTATGTTTTGGGGGTAATCATTTGTAAATTTCATTCTTTGTATGTGTGTATTTATTGTAAATGCTGAAAATGAGCATTTCCTTTAACTTCTTCTTAATTTCCTGCTTTTCTTTTTCTGTTTTGTTTCTATTTGTTTTTACAATTAGTACAGTTATGTTTTATTTTTTACTCTTCTTCTTCTTTTTCTTGTCCGATTTGGCTTTCTTTTTGCTAGACCGTTTACTATCGCTGTCCGGTGATTCGGAACGTTTGCGGGATTTTTTATCTGTCTTGGCATGTTTGCGCTTGCGTTCAACATCACTGTCTTCGGAGTCCGAGGATGATGTAGATGGACTACGTTTGCGTGACACAGGAGAGTGATGATGTCGTTTCTGAGACGACATTGCCGGACCATCGTTGTCACGTTGCGGGTGATGATTTTTGTCAGACTTTTCTTTTGGTTTACAATCTTTGTTACGCTGCTGATCTTTGTCGTAATCGTGATTTCGTTCCCGTTCTCGGTCCCTGTCACGTTCTCTTTCGCGATCTCTGCCGCCGCTGTCACGTTGCTTCAAACGCTCTCTTTCCTTGTTGCGTTCTTTCTCCCTTTCCCGCTCCTTTTCTTTTTCTCTTTCGCGTTCCCTCTCCCTTTCACGCTCCTTGTCCCTTTCTCGCTCTCGTTCACGTTCACGTTCTCTATCCTTTTCTCTGTCTCTTTCACGCTCTCGCTCTTTCTCCCTTTCCCTCTCGCGTTCCCGGTCTCTTCGTTCACGGTCTCTATCACCTCTTCCTGCTTCTCTGTCACGTTCTCGACTATTTTTCTCATTATCGCCCAGCTTTTTTGAGGATTTGCTCTCACTCAGCCCACGTCTACTGTGGCGATCATTGTGTTCATAGCTTGGAGGTTGTTGCACCTTACTGCCCAATCTATCCTTGATGGATTTTTTCTTTTCACCAGATCCTTCGGACCCACCTCCACCACCTCTCACTTCCACCGAACGTTCGTTACTAATATTAACGGGCAAAGTTATTTTAATATTCCTTATATTATCATGATCATCAGGATAGTTTTTGGATGACGAAGATCTCTCCTTTGACGAGGATTTCTTGTGTAACTCAATCGGCCGAATGGCATTGATAGCCCTGGCAAAAATCGCCTTTTCAGCCCGCACAATTACCTCATTGGTCACCTTGCTATCTCCATTGTTGTTGTTGTTGTGGGCATAGTTGTCATCATTTTTATCCTCACCCATATGGTCAGGCCCACCACCCGCAGCACCACCCATGCTATTAAGATTGTCATCTAATTCCCATTTTGAAGTTTCGGGGGCCACTAATTTATTGTTGCCACTGTCCTGGTATTTAAAACTCTCATCAAAATCGGTTTCATATTCATGGATGTCCAGAACTGCATCAAAGCACTTAATATCCGAGGAGGGTGGTGTCTTGTCGCCATAATCAAGAGATTTCATCTGTTTGGGTGTTACAACTTCCATTCTGGGCGGGGGACTTGCTGTGTTGTTATTTTTCGGTGTGGAATTGGGCTGCAGTTCCTTTTCCACACTCCTATATTCTCCTTCTTCCTCTAGGTCGTCATACAAATGGAATTCCTTGTCGGATGATTTCAATTCCTCATTGCTATTCTTGGAGTCATTTGCTTCTTTAGCATGACCACCACGTTGCTGGTCGTCGTGTTCACCTTGGTGTTCTTCGTCACGCCGCTGCTGCTGATCTTCTTCGTCTTCTTCCTCGTTAGCTGCATCATCATTATGACGATCTTCCGACTTGTTTCTATGTCTCTCCTTTTTGGACTTCTTTTCTTTTTTAACCTTTTTCTTTTCACTTTTGTCTTTACGTTTCTTCTTGCGTTCCTTGAGTTTCTTTTCCGATTTCTTTTCTGATTTCTCCTCGGGAGAAGATGGATGTTCGCCACCACTAACAATTTTATGTTCATTGACATTGCTCGATGATTCCTTTTGCCGTGGCGGCGTCATACTACGTCTTTTCGAATCAAAATCATGATCATGATACTCCTTATCCTTTTGAGGATGATATCGATCAACACTTTTGTGTTTACGATGTGATGATGAGCCCCTTTCTTTATCCTTCTTATGATGGTGATCGGATGTCGATGATGCCGGCTTACCTTTCGGTGTGGTACTCCTTTGCATTTTACGTCGTTTCTCTGCGGCTCGAACACTTGAACGAGACCTTGATCTGGTTCTTGATCGTGAGCGCGATCGTAAATCTCTTTCGGATCGATTTCCCGTGTTGCTGCTATACAGTTTATTCTCCTCCAAATCCTGCGAGACACATTTTTCATATAGATCTGGTGTGGGATTACGACGAATTTCGCGCAGATTTGTTGACGGTGATGCTGAAATGTTGCTATGGAATGGATTACGTGAGGTTTGTATCTCAAAGCCAGGTGGCGGTGGTTCTGAGTTTTCATCATTCATGTTATAGTGTTTCCTGGAAAGGAGATTTGTTTGTTAGTTAATTTGAGGTTTATGATAAGTTTTTCTATGAGTCTACTTACCTCATATCCCCCATTCTATCATCATTGAGCATGCCCTTGGGTTCAAATGGTTTCGAGATATGACGACCCCGACTGCCTTCACGTTTGTGTCTGTTTGTGGTAAAGGAGAGGATGAACAATATATAAAAAATTAATATCAAGATGTTCTATACTTCAGAAGTTCTTCTACATATCTTCATCAGAAGTTTGAACTTCTAAAGGCATATTGGGTGCCTTTTATAAATAAAAACGACTTTAAATTGTCTAAAGGGTTTCCCTAGATATATATTCGTTTCTACTCTTACCTGTTACTGTGCATAGTGTCCTCATGATCCTCTGGCCGTGACTTGGGATGATAGTGATGGGGATGTCTAAAAAAATGCATATTTTGCTTTATTTCGAATACCGTTGTCAATGGCTAAAATACTTACTTATCCTGATTGAAATGACTCTTGTGATTAGACGGAGATCTATAGCGTTTATTGGGGGGAGAATGTGATCTCGATCTGGAAAGGTATATTAATTGAGAATACCTATTTTAAAAATTGCAAATTTTCGGTATACCTTGAATTTCTTTCCAAAGACTTTGAACGTCTGCTGTTCCTATAGAGATGATCTTTGTTGCGATCACGTTCCCTTTCCCTTTCTCTGTCTCTGTCGCGTTCTCGGTCACGTTCCTTATCTCCTGGTTTTTCATAGCGTGGCCAACGACGATCATTATCACGATCACGGGAACGACCTCTTTTGTCATGATAGCCACCACCTCCACCGCCACTACTATTATTGTTGCCACCACCACCACCGCCGCCTCCATGGTCCTTAGAATTCCGATTATTATATGGTGATGTGCGAAAATTACCTCTAATGTGTCGCTCTTTCGATCGGCGGCGTCGATCTGGCGACCGTCTGTCTTCGGTTTTCTTTTTCTCTTTTTCTTTCATAATGCGATTAAAGGCCTCCAGGGGGTCATCAATGATCCTAACAATGGATATGGAGAAATCAATTACATTTTGTCACAATTCCCTTTTTGTTTGTATAGCTTAAAAACTTACCCTGATCCCACCTTGGCTTGTACCACTTCATACACAGATGCTATGCTATTAAAGGGGCGCATTTGATTTGGGTTTTCATGTTCTCTTACAGGATAATTGAAACGATTGGGCATATTAGCGGTAGGAAAACGTTGATATCTGTGGAATAGAAAAGCACATCTAAATGGTACAAAACAATTTATGAAACTGAGCAAATGGAGGAGGTGGTTTTTCATTGTTAAGCTCGCAAACCGTATACCAACAAATCCATTTTCTTTCTTTCAATTCAAAAGGATAAATATTGTGTCCTCCTAGTTGGAACCGCAACGCATCATTGTAACAGCGACTGATTTTATACGACAAAACAGACCTGGAAACACTTACCCATCAGCAAAAGGGCTACAACAAAATGGGCTCATGAAAAACAAGGCAGATGGGGGGCAATAAATGGTGTTTCACAATAACGACTTTGGGAGGCCACATGAGTCTTCCATGGTCCAAGAGTTTGGTTTTGATTTCCTCTTCGTGCTGCACGTAAATTCCTCAGTTTGTGAGACCACAAATCCATGCTAATATTTAGTTACAACTGATATTTGTATATCCTGTCCTGTTCTTCTTCTTCTTCATCTTCGATCTCATGACTTTCTTTACAAAATTTTATATCAATAACAAATAATTACGAGTTCAATCAGTCTTTTTATTGCTTTTTTTTAATTAAGACATGGCATAAACAATTTATAAAAACAAATGCAATCAGCAATCCTTAAATAACTTGGATTTTTGTTTCATTTTGGTATTGGTATGGTATGTTTTGCTTACAGCTTAGACTACAATTCTATGTTTTGCTTACAATTTAAACTGGTCTACAAAAAGGTTTGTTTGAGAGATCATCATCATCATCATTATCACATTCATTTGTTTCTTCTTACAAAATAATGTGTGCAAAAATGTGGTCTACTTCTTGAATTTTAAGGATAAAATTTGATTTTATCACAAAATAAAAATTTACAACAACTTAGCAGTACAATAGTTTAGGAATATAGTTATTTTTTATCTATCCTCTTTACATAGGTCAAAGATAATAGAAAAGTTATTTTGTTTGTTTTTTTTTCTTTTCTTTTTTTTTTTGTTAAAATTAACAACTCGTATTGATTTGTACCTTCCGGAGCAATAGATACAGAAGTAGATATGTATATATTGGGGGATTCAAAGGCACACCTGCTGCACTCCTTTTTTGCACTTAAAAGAATATTAATATGGCAGCTAAGAATGTGTGTAGGTAGGTTGGTTGTTTATATATATAGTAGCTTTCTGGGCCAATTTTGCTTGAAATACGTCTAAGAAATATGACAAACTGTACTACAATGTGTCTCACACTTACCCTGGTACCACGTTGCCCATGGGATTGTAGGGTGGTTGATCATAGGAGCCCATTGCAGCAATTGGCATACGTAATGGTGGCGGCCCCACTTGCGGATGGGGATGAGGTGGCATATTCGGATGTGGATACAGCGGTGGACGATGCATATGATTGTGATATCCTCCATGCATGTTCATGGGCCTAATCGGACGTTGTTGCATATCATAGCCCCCTTGATGGGGAGGATAAAGTGGTGGTACTTGCACCGAACCTGGTGCCGCACCAGGTGGTGGGATATTTTCCAGAGGGGGTTTAGTTGTTGAGATCGGTCGGCTATTTTTTTCATAGCCATAATGGTCGGTTGTCGGAGTCTCATGATCTCTGGGTGATCGATCCCAATCTTTTGAGCTTGGACGATCGTGGGAACGATGAGAATTACTTTCCTGTTGAGGATACTAAACAATTAGTAAATAAGAAGCATTAAATGATATTGGCAAAAACAAACATGATATATACCAGGAAAGTAGTAGTGAAGTTATCAATAGCTAATTTTATTACAGTGAAATTGTGGTCATTTGAGTCGCAAACTTAATTCGTTAGAGGCTAGTGGTATCTTGAAACAGTTTTATTCTTAATTTCAACCAACAATTTAGATTGACAACCAAGGGAACAAGGTTGAAAGATGTTATTTTAATGAAATTCTAACCGGACTCAACATTATTTAAAACTCATCTCTCATCCATAATAAAATCAGCGTCTGATATACATGAGTATAAATACAAACAATATTTTTCTTACCTGTGGTTTACTTTTCGGCGAATGAGGCTCAAGGCCAGGTGGTTTTGGATGCGATGATGCATGACGACGGCTAAGATACTTTTCAGTGCGAGTATCCGAAGCAGATGGTACCTTAACCACAATATTATCCTCATAATCAGAATCTTCATGAGCAGGACTTGAATGAGTTGGGGCAACATGATGGTGTTGTTCGTTCTTTTCTTCTTTTACATCTGTGCTTGGCACATCAACATGCTCGTCCTTTGTTTTTATATCAAGCTCTTTTGGCTCGTTATCACTAACTGCTTTTGTAATCTCATTATTGTCCCTTCGTTCCTCTTCTTCTGGTTGTTGCTCCTTAGCCTCTTCTTTTGGTTCTGTTTTCTTAATTACATCCAATTGGGGTTTTTCTTCCGCCACATTATCATTGTCGTCCTCGGTTGCTGCTGCTGCTGTTGCTGCTGGTGGTGGGGGATCAATTTTAATTTCTAAATTGATTTGAGAATTAATTATTTTTGAACAAAAGTTTAAGTAATTTTATAATTTTTTACCTTTTTTTGTTTGACTGCTGGCTTTGTAGCCAGTGCGATTTTTAAACGCATTAACCGAATTCCGTAGAAAACGATTGGGAATTAGAGAACCCGGTGAGCTGCCTTTTTCCTTGCAATCAGGGCATTCGTTATCTTCGGACTCCAATAGAGCGGTGCGCACACCTGTTTAAGCAAAGATTAGGTTATATTCGTTTGGTTTTCTTTATCTGCTATGCTTCAATTTCTACTTACAGTCATCACAAAAAGAACTACCACAACAGGGTATCATGACGGCATCCACAAAGAGATCATTACATATACCACACACCAAATCCTCAGGTATTTCTTGCTTCTTTTCCTCCTCCAGCAATGGTTCCTGGCTCTCAATCATCAATGCTCTGGGTGAGATTCAAGAATTTTTAATAGTTGCCCTTTATAGTTTTAAAAGTGTTGCTTTTAATTACCTTTCATCCTTGTCAATAAAGGATTTGGGTATTCCTGTTGTCCTTTTCACTTCAGTGTGTTCCTTACTTATATTAAAGGGGCAATTTTTAATCCAATGGCCACCTTTTTTACATTTATTACAGCGATAAGTGGGTGGCACCTCACCCGTTTGAGAGAAACCACGAATTTTTTGATAACTTTGGGAAATGAAAACAGCCGAAATAAAATATTTTATCACTTCTATCTATCATTCTCGCTTACCTTTTGGGGTCATATTCGGCTGTACTTTGCATCATCATGGCTTGGATTTTCTCCTCTTCGCTACCCTCCATTTTCGACAGATCAAAATCTGTCTTTTCCACCGGCTTAGGAACAATGCGTGGCTGTATGGGTTTATTTGCGGTATCCCAAGATTTCTTGGCCTGATTTGTTAGCGGCACACGAGATATAATCAAGGAGGTATTTTTCGGTATGAGACTTGTATCATGGGGGTATTCTAAAAAAAAAAAACAACTCCCAACATTAATTAACCACTCAGGCACAAACTTTTTAGTTAATTTTATGCATACCTTCTTTTGTTTGTGCATTGATTATTTGCAAATCGAAATCAGTTATTTTGCTCAAGCGTTTTTGTTGAAGTATGGCCTTTTTGAGATCCGCCACGGATATATGCAGGCCATCAAATGTAATGGTGTCATAGTCCAGGGTACTTTTGAATTTATAATGTACCGACATTATGTGGCCGGAAATGAATTACCGCAACACTCTTTTCTTGTAGCTTTTCACAAAAATAGCAATAATTTGTTAACAAATCGGCCCCTTAAAAATTCAGAAGTGAAATCTTCTGCTGCTTCATTGTGTAAAAAATACAATTCTAGTGATGTGAAGAAAAATTAAAATGATGTATTTAGTAATCACAAACACACATCAATCACTATTGTTGCGGCCGCATGCGTTGTTAAATGTTGTAATCGATATTTAGCGCCGCAAACTGCTTTCAATGAATATCCCAATATGCCGCTAAACTAATGGAAAATTCACAGGTTGTTCACAATTATGTCCAATGTTTTATCTGTAAAAATGCCTTTTCCCAAACTACTGAATCCAGTCACTAAGTGAGTGGTTACTTTTAGGAGAAAATGGAATGTTGCCACGTTGATGAGAATATGTTTACAGTTGCCAGATGAATGGAATGAAAACGCATGAAATCATACACCCTGTTGTGTAGAGTTGCAAGGTGATTCATTTAATGTTGTTGAAATATAAGAATTAACTAAATTTCCCATATTAATATCAGTATTATTCGAAAAGCCTGAATGATATGTGGAATTCTTTTTCTTAGTAAAATGCCCGAATAAATAAAAAGACTTAAACTTATAGTTTTTTTTTGTGGAATTCTTTTCGTATGTGTAATTCTTATTAAAAGTATTGGATAAATGGTACCTGCTTAACTTAAATAATGGAAAATGATTAATTTTTAATTTTTTTTATATTATTTATTTTTTTTTGTTATTATTATTTATTTTTTATTTATTATTGTAACTCAGGTTTTAGGAAGCTGTTAGGTCTTTTTATTACAAATGGATATATATCTGATATTTTTAACACGTCAGAAAATAATATAGTGATTAACATTTTCTATAGACCTAACATCTGGATTTGAAAAAACGAAATGGGTATTTAATACAAACAGAAGTTCTAGAATGGCTTGTTATTTCAAACAGTCATTGATTACATTAATTTAAATGAAATTTTCGATGTTTCAAAGCTAGTGAATATTTCTTAAAAATCCGAAGTACGAAATTGAAACCTGACGGTTACAATTCTTTAGACATTTCAAGCGGAAAATGCAAACAGGAGTTAAATGAGGCAACGCTAAAAAAATTCCATTTTATAAGACTAAATTAAAGCCCATTCTATTGGAAATTATTAGTTTGATCTGCCGATCAATATCGACAATTTTCTGCCAGATGGGTTTTATTCTCTGAGAGCATGAAATACTATTTTATAACTAATATTTATGGAAATCATTCTTCAAAATTCTTAAAAACGGGAGGTTAAAAGGTACCATAATTATTAAAATGTAAAAATTGATGTATAGAGACTGTGTAAAACAAACTTTTTTAACAATCTCAAATGAAATAAGTAATAAAGTTGAATACCCTCCACCATTTGAAATAAATTTGGCAATTCTCAAAAAAATAAAATCCGTTAAAAATTCTGTTAAAATTTTAAAAATACCGAATGTAGGGCCTATACGACGTGACAAGCCATTACAATATGCACAGATAAATTTCTGGCATAGGCTATAGTACGAACTTCAAATACCAAATTTGAAACAATTCCGGTGAATAATATCGCTAAAATCATCAAAACACCGAATATAAGGAGGTACTACTATGGGGGCTATACCAAAACGAAGATGTACACAGATAATTTTCTGTCATAGGCTGTACGAACTTCAAATACCAAATTCGAAAAAATTCCGGTGAATAATGTCGCTAAAATCATCAAAATACTGTTATAAAGAGAACATTTTATATTGGGGCTATACCAAAACGTAGACCTGCACAGACAATTTTCTGTCATAGTATCCATTACGAACTTCAAATGCCAAATTTGAAACAATTCCGGTGATTAATGTCGCTAAAATCATCAAATTACCGAATATCGGGAGGTACCGTTATATGGGGGCGTGAACCTACATGGCCCATTTTCAATACCAAAAGTCCTGCAAACATAATATACATTTGAGTAAGATTTTTTAAATCTACTTCATACCGTTCGGAAGCTAGAGTGATTTCCACAGACAGATAGACGAACAAAATCGACATAGATTTTTATGCTGATCAAGAATATATATACTTTGTGGGGTCTAAAATGTATATACCCTCCATACTATGGTGGAGGGTATAAAAAAAGTGGTCCTAAGAACAAAAATGGGTTCACTAATAAGCAATTGTTGTATAAGCGGCACAGTTTAATGTAACCAACAACAATGGCAACACATCGGCATCAACATGTTTGGATTCAAATTTGAGTGATTGTCAGTTTAAAATTAATTCATTTTTTTGAAGATTAGCCACCTGTTCTCCCCTTCATGAGAATCTACACCACAAGGAGTTATCGACATGCGATTTTCAAAAATAAAAACTTGTTTTTGTATATTTTACCACCTGGCCATCGTTACATACGAAAATGACCTAAAATTCTAAGTACAAAGCATTTCCATGTTGCAAACGAGACCCAAAAACTTTAAAATTTTTGACAAAGTGTTTATGTAGAACTAGTGTCTCAATTTGAATAATTTTTAGATTCCATGAAAGCCAAGCTTTCCCTTCAATTCTGCCCATTGATATACCAAACGGCTTATCCCATGTAGCCCACAGCATCCATAACCCTTTCTTGAGGGCGCCAATCTTCTATGAGACCAATACTATCCACATCCATTAAGAACACATTTGGTTTTTTTTTTTCTTTTTTAATTAAAGTTTATTAATGCTTTTGAACAGCATTTTTACTTTCTTGGTTGGTTGCGAGCCATATCCTTGGGGAAGGTTCTTACTGGAGGAGTACGAATGCGACGAGCTTCCTTGGATCTGTTTCTTACGACCTTAGAGTGGATAGCGCAGGATACACAGTAGTGCAATTTGGCGTACAACTTGGGCAAAGTGTAAGCTAAAATAAGAAAAACAAAAGTAATTAGTATTCGTTTTCCCCAATCCCCACAAAAGGGGCGCAGCCGATTTCAAACAACTTACAATCCCAGATGGAGGCTTCGGAAATATCACGAACAGCGGCAGCTTCGACGATATTACGGATAACGAACTTCTTGATGGCCTTATCCTTGGGCACACAGCGGGCACAGTTGGTGCAACGCACAGCCTTTACATGACCTCTGTTGTGCTTGCAGCGACCTCCGTTACGACGCTTCTTAGTCTGCAATTAATGTTTCAAGAGATAAAAACGCATGTTTAATAAACAACACATCAACACTATGTTTATATATTCCACATTGCTTATGGCATTTTTGTTTTCTTTTTTTGTTATTTTATCACATTTTTTCATATTTCCATTGAATAAATAATTGGTTTTGCACGCACCATTTTGTCAGTCTCCTTTGGCCGGAAGAAAGAAAAAGAAAGAAATCTATTGAGTGAAGTTGGTTGTAGTTTGTCACATTTTGACATTTGGTATTGTAATAGATTTGCATGTGGTTATTCGTTAGTATTGTAAATGATTACCGGTATTTGCTCAACTTGGCAGCACTTTTAGGTAGTTCTTTTGAGAAAATGAAAATACATATAGATTAAAGAATATAGGTAATTTTCTATAGGTAATTTAACTAATAATAATAATAAATTATTAATTAAAATGGTATTAAATGGGGGAAAATACCATATTGCCTAGATTTCGTACAAAATGTTGTAGACGCTGCATTTATAACATGGTAGAAGAATACAGGCAGATGCATTGACGCTTGGGAACATTAATATGCCAAAAATTTTAAAATGTTTTTATTTTTTTTTTTTTTTTCAAAAATCAGTAGATTTTTATATGTTTTCCTTTACAACGTTAACCGGACATTGTTATAATATGTATTTTCAACAATTTGTACAAATTTGTATAGTTTTTCTTTCAAAAATTTCAATTTCAAAATTGGTTTCACAGTTCATTGTCCCAGCAGCTGTCGATGCGACTACCTGTATTCTTCTACCATGGAAAATTTTATAAAATAAATCAAAATTTAGAATTAAAATTTATGTAAATGCGTTAAAATTGTTTAAAAAATAAATATCATAACAACCTCTGATTGGCTTCGTATAAGAAAATATATAAGAATCTACTAATTTTTGAAAAAAAAAACATCTTACAATTTTTGACATATCAATGTTTCCAAGTGTTGATGCATCTACCTGTATTATTCTATTATGCAATTTGAATAAAATAAATCATGGTAAGGCCATAAAAAATTATAGCCGGTTTACAAACGAATGTGTCAAAAATATCATTCCATATGTCAAATAAAAGGTGTATTTTTTGTCAAATTCTTATCAGAATACATAAAAGTAAACAATAGACGTGCAATATCTGCAATATCTTTTTCAATGAAAATCATTCAAGAAAACAAATCGACAGCTTTTCCAGAGTACTTCTTTAAAAAAACAAAACTACAGGCGCTCAGTTCTTGTTCTATGAGAATGTGATATGAACATTTTTATAAAAGAGATGGAAAATTAATTGTTTTTTAATTTTATATTTTCCATCATGGTAGAATTAAGAATTTAAAGTCATGCAATCATATATTTACATTTTTTCGAAATTATTCATTTGACAACATTTCATTGTCAAAATTTATTTTATAAATCCATAGTATATACAGGAATCAGAGATGGGAACCTGTTTTTTTATTCAGTGGAATTTGACATGGTAAATTACAGGAAATGCAGAGATGAATAGTCTTATTTGAAATGATTTTACCTTCTAATTTTTACCATGTTTTCCATGGTAGAATTAATAATTTTAATTTACCTTGTCAAATTTCACTGCATAATAAGCAGATTCCCATCTCTGATGATGTTAAATGAATAATTGATTGACGATTGCAAAATATTACCTTTTTCATTATCCCAAAAGAGGTTTTTAGTGAGACTACATAAAACGCTTTTTTGACAAGCTTAAGTCATCGGCTGGCTTTTTTCGTAAAGGATCAAAGGAGTTTTAGGTTGACTTTGTACAATTTTGGCCCGTAATTTATACTTGTACACCCTGCACTCCTTTTTTCTTTTATGAAGAAGACAGTCAAAAAAAAAAAACATTTCATGTATTCTCACCTTTGAACCATGGGCTGGTTTATTAGTAAAAGAACAAAGGAGTTTTGTGTTGACTCGGTTAAATTTTGGCAATAATTTTTACTTTCTTACCCCATGTTTCTTTGTTCTTTTGCAAAAAAGTCAGCTGATGACTTGAGCCATTAAAAAAACTTGTTTGTTTTCATTTTTAACCTTCTTAATTCTACCATGAACACAAGTCTTCATAAAGCAAAATACTTCATAAAATATTGTTAAAAAAGTTCAACTACAACTCTGAAATTCCGTCTTAAAACTGATAAAAAAAAACTCACGATTAAGGTGTAAGTACATAAGAAGCTTGAAGTCATGGCTAGGTATATTTTGTGACATTTCATAAAGGGATTACAGAGCACTAAAATCGTGCCGTCGTTTTGCATTATAATTTGACATTAATATGCCTTGAGTGACATAAGTCATCGGCTGGCTTCTTTGGAAAAGAATAAAGCAGCGTAGCGCCTATATCGAATTAAGTCGACCTAAAACCTCTTTTGGATTTTGACGTTGACTTAGCTCGATTTTGGACCTAAGCTTCTTTGTTCTTTTCCGAAAAAGCCAGCCGATCACTTAAGCTAGCCAAAAAAGGGGTTTATTTATGCTCACCTAAAGAGTTTCATGTATTCTCACCTTTTTCTAAAAAGCGTTTTATGTATTCTCACCTTTACTTCTTCAAATTCTCACCTTTACTTCTTCAATTTAGTTTTACTAATTCGGGAAGTAAATTGGTTGAAAGCGAAATATTGCAGCTTAGAGAATCCCTTTGAAATTATTTCCGGCAGAACATCAAACTTTTAAATATTTGAAATTCTTTCAAATATTTCAAATTCTCCCGCCATTACACATTTTAGGGGTTGTTTTCTAGGGATAATATTTCCATAACATATGTCCGGCATTTGACACATGGAAAAAACAACCATGTCCCTATATATATATCTCTTTTGTTGTTTTCGACATTCGACAAAGTGTCACAACAAATCCAACGGTGGAGTATTTGCGTAAATTTGGTTATAGATAATGCGTTGACTGTTCAAATCAGAAGAGTATAACAATGTCATGTAAGAAAAAGTCTGGTTACTTTCAGCATCAACTGCTTTCTTTAAAATTTTATTACTCTTGGTTCAATTGAATTGTTTTTTTCCTAATTTAATTTTGTGGTGTCCTGTCCTGACACAAACTATTGTGTGAGGAAAAATCCTCAACAATAACATCGAAAATCGTTGGAATTCCTAAAGCTAAAAAGCTGGTGTGGAACCTACTCTAAAAATTAAAGTAAACACTGTGTAGTGTTCGCTGTGTGGTTGTGTTGGCCATTATGTGAGACTCAATTGAGGAACGGAAAATAAATAAACGAAAAAGAAAACCTACACGGAGATTTGAGATAACAACGACAACGGACTAGCCACAACAGAGCAAAAAAAATTTACTCCCATCTAATAATAAACAAACATCAGTAGTAGCAGCAGCGGCAGCAAATTGAGAAAAAGCCAAACTGCTGGTAGCTTATCAACAAAATCATACGCCACCTTCAAGTTCAGCTTATGAAATGGCATTAACTAAACGTATAAAATGTTTCAAATATATGGTATATTGTTACATTGTCCTATTAGCGGTAAGTGGACTAATATTTTCCTACCAACTACACACACACGCACACACATGTAGGCATAGCAATATCCCTATTGTCTGTCTCATTAAAGTCCCGTTGTGGCACACAAAAAAAAAATGGATTGTAGTGAAAACATGATTGCGCAACTTTGACACATATCTACATGTGTTTATGTTTGCAAAGGCAAGTGCATTTACACATGTATGTATGTGTGTGTGTGTGCACATTTATCCTTAGAAATGTAAATAAAAACATTAGACAAACAATGGCCAAAGTGCAGATGATGACTATTCTGCTTTAACACAATTTTGCATGATTGTTGTTTTTGTTGTTGTTGTTATTTTCTTTCTTTGTTCTCAATTTTTTCCCCTCCCTCTTTACTCTAGGTCACTGGCTGTGCACAAATATTTTTGGGCACTTCCCTGCTGTGGGGACATTCAGGCCACTATGGCGTTGTACAAAATAGGCTATGGGCCCCAGCAGCCTTGCTCTTGTGTTTGGGTCCCGGAACGTTTATTCTTTGTTGGATTGGCTGTCAGGCCACCAATCAAAAGAAAAAATGTCTTTTGGGCTTGGTAAGTGTCATTGTCATAGCTGTCTCTAGCCTTAAGGTCTGAAAACAACATAATTGGTTTATCCTTGTTTTTGTTTTTTCATTTCACGCCTTCCAAAACAACAAAAGTTCGCCACATTCCTGGTCATAAACATTCTAATACAGTTCTTATTGTGCGGCTGGTCCCTGGCTATGCGTGAACATTTACCATCATCGGTGGAGATTTACATTGATGATTCATTTGTCGAATTTTTGGATAAATTCTCCAGGACCAAGGTTGATAACCTACATTTATGGAATAGGATGCAATCACAGGTAACCTTGACACATACACATGCACAATACACTCAGCAGCAGTAGCAAGAATAACAACAACAACACACACACATCCCTACACACAAAGAAATTGTCATTGAGTTGAGTTATACATAATTATTTTGTGTGTGTGAGTGTGTCTGTGTGTGGGGAAAGTATGTATGTGTGTGTTTTTTGTATGTACATTGGGTTGTAACGCATGCAAAACAATAACATCCAAGGTCTCGCCGAATTGGGGTTAACCAATTGCATAGAGCTGTTGTTTTTGTTATTGTAAACAAAAAAGGTTGAAGGAAAAACATTTTTTTACAACTTGTCAAAAGAAGAATTTAGTGGATGACAAGTAATTAATTTCACAAATTAAGTGACATAGTGTGATTAAATTAAAACCAAGTGAATGTAAAGGTGAGAATACATAAAACGCTTATTTGACAGCCTTAAGTCATCGGCTGGCTTCTTTGGAAAATAACAAAGGAGCTTAGGGCGAAAATCGAACTAGGTCAACCTAAAACTCCTTTTTTCCTCTACGATGACTTAAGCCAGTCAAAAGATCTTTTTATGTATTTTTACCTTAAACGAAAAAGCATTCCGCGAGAAATTTTGTTAACATAAATTTATGTTAAAGTTTCTTAAAGTACGTTTACATACATATATTAATCCGGATTAACCCTAGTAATTGACCATTCACAATAAAATTGCAATAAGGGTTCGAGAAATTTTGTTAAAATAAATTTATGTTAAAGTTTCTTAAAGTACGTTTACATATAAATCTTAATCCGGGTTAAACCTGGTAATTGACCATTCACAATAAATTTGGCTATAGAACACACACATTCAATTTATTGTGATTGATAAATTATCAAGGTTAACCCTGGTAGAGATTTTGTATGTAAACGTACTTTTACCGTAATAATTGAATCACGTTTAAGGGCTTCGATCTAAACGTAGTCTAAAGCTATCATGATGACCTAAAACCCGAAAGGTGAGAATACACAGAAGGTTTTTTTATCTGCCTTAAGGGTCAGAAAACAAAGAACAAGTGTCTTACTGACTTAAGTCATCGGCTTCTTAGTAAAAGAACAAAGAGACATAGTATGAACAAGTATAAACTATGGACCGAAATTGAATCAAGGTAACCTAAAACTTTTTTTTACGAAGAAGCCAGCCGAAGACTTAAGCTGGGAATACATAAAGCGCTTATTTGGCTGGCTTCTTCGGAAATGAACAAAGGAGCCTAGGGCCAAAATCGAACTAGGTCAACCTAAAACTCCTTTGTTCATTTACGAAGAAGCCAGCCGATGACTTAAGTTAGTCAAAAAATGCCTTTTATGTACTCTCACCTTTACTGTCTTTGAAAAATGCTAAATATTTTTTGGTATAAACCTTTTTGTTTTCGATGGTTTAAGTATTCAAAATTTTGGCCTAGGACTAAAATGGAACTAAATCAACGTAGAACTCCTTTGTTCCTTTACGAAGAAGATAGTTGTTGTCCTAAGCCAGTCAAAAAAAGTCTTTTATGTACTCTCATCGAAAGTCATAGGCTGGCTTGTTCGAAGAAGAATAAAGAAGCGTAGGGTGAAGTATAAATTACGGGTCGAAATTGAACTAATTTAACATAACACTCATTTATTCTTTTACGAAGAAGCCAGTTCTCATTTTTTTAATGAAGCAGTAAAATCAACATTAAATTATGCCAGGTACCGACGATGAATTATTTAGTATTTCATTCAATTAAAACAAAGTAACCTCATATCAAATAATAATATGCAGCTCGGAATTTTCCTGTAAAATGCCTTGTCAAATTTAATTTTATATACACAATGGATTTATAATGAGCTGTTGTAAAATTCAAAATATTGTAAACATATCAGGAAGTAAATTTACATTCTTTATTATTCTGTTTCTATTTCATTCTCTGTCGTCTTCTTCTGTTGGAACCTGGCTTCTCTTGACCTTCTCAGTGTGTTACAAAAACTAGGCTGTTAGGTTTTATAGATTTTTGTTATAAATACAAAATCCAGTGGATTTCAACTGTCAATACTATCCAGTGAATTAAATTTGACATATACCCAAATGGAATTGACATATACCCAAATATATCAAGCTCTGCATTTTCTATAAATTACCTTGGATATGTTCGATGACTTTTCCAGTAAAAAAAAACTAATAAGTAACCTGTTATGAGAGATTTTTTCTCTCTCGAGTGCACATTTTGAGAAAAGTTATTGAAAATGACATTCTGTAAAACCTATCAAGAAAACAGCTGTTTCGCGAAATGTATGCGTAACACTTTTAAACAGTTGAGAAACGCAAAACAAACTGAAAATTTTATGGGGGAAATTTAGTTCTGTTTTTGTGAATAAAATAATTAAACAATTGCTTGAAATTTCTAAAAATTTCTGCATCGGTCGCAAAACAGCTGTTTTTTTAATCAGCTGACAGTTGTTGCACTTTTGGGTTGTCAAATATTTTGCATTATTTTATGAGAAATATTGAGTTATCATGCACACCAATTGTCAAATTGTACTGCATTAAATCATGAGTAACATTAAAGGGCTTAACTCATGACACAATTAAAACAATGGCACAATTTTTTTTCCAAAATTATTCATTTGTCATCTCATTGTCAGAATGTATTTTCACAAATCCTATTTATATATACAAAAATCACAGATGGAAATATTTTTTTCATTAGAGTTAAATTTGAGAATGAAAGTGCAGAAAATGCAACGTTGACTTAAATGTAAACGTGGTTTAATGGCGTATTTACACCACATTTGAAACCAGTTATTGATAGAAGACACAGCTGCTGGGACAATGAACTGTCATATCAATTTTGGAATAGAAATTTGTTGAATGAAAAATAATCGGATTTCATAAAAATTGTTGAAAAGTGCGTATCAGAACAACCTCCGATTTGCGCCGCATAAGAAAACAAGATTATTTTTGACAAAACATTTAAAAAAATTTGGCATATTAAAGTTCTACCTGTATTCTTCTTCCATGATTAGATTCTAAATAGAAATACATATTTCGCATTGCCAAATTGCTATGAATTGCTTTTTTGGGTATCAGCTGCTAGCCAGAATGGAAAGAAAAGCAAAAAGCGTGGTAGAAAAATATAGATAGATGCATCAACGGTTGGGAACATTGATATGTCAAAAAAATTTAAATGTTTTTCAAATATAAGTAGATTTTTATATGTTTTCTTATACGACGTCATTCGGTGGTCATTTTAATTCGCGTTTTCAACATTTTTTTTTTTACAAATTTAAATAATTTTTCATTAAACAATTCCAATTCTAAAATTGGTTTGACAGTTCATTGTCTCAGCAGCTGTGTCTACGCGTCTACTATCTCTTTGAGATCGAGTGGATTTCGTGTATCTAAACATACATTTAAACAAACTGCCATTGTGTAAATTTTTTAATTAATTTACCACTCATGATAAGGGGTTTTAATGTAAACGTACCCTAAGCATTATTTTATCTTCCCAATAACATTTAAATATTTTTCAATTTTAATCTATACCTCTTAACCCATTAGTTGCAATGCTGTGGTGTTGATGGACCACTTGACTATCGCCGTTTATCATTGCCCTGGTCCTGCTGCTCGCGACCTGAAACAGCCTATGAATCAGCCTGCGATACTCATTATAAACGAGGCTGTTTAGCCGTTGTCTCCGAACAAATAAAATATACACTACTAATAACTGCATTTGGTGCTGCCATTATAGCCATATTCCAGGTAAGTTCTAGTCGATCTCTTCGTCACCCAAACATTTTGATGACCTTTTTCCATTGAAAAAAAAATGATCTCTTACAGAGTTTGGGCCTGTTTTGTGTTGTTCATTTGGCCATACTCTATGGAAAAAACGACAACGTCTATGATAATAATAAGCTTAGCAAGAAACGCCAGCAACAGTTTCTGCCACTCTCCATACAAGATAAACGCCAGGATATACCATCACCATTGAGTTTGTCACCCACAGCACCAGGGCATCGTGTGCTAAAAACCTCAGCACCCGGTGGTAAAAAATGACAGACGATTAGCTTTTAAGTGTTCAATTGAATTAAAACTATTTAAAAAAAAAATCACAAAAAAACTACAAAAAAATCAACAAAACCCAAAAAAAAAAATGAAATGTTTTAGATTACTCTAATATCTCTCAACAGATATACAAGAAATACGAAAAGAACAACAACAACTACTACTAAACAACTAACACGAACACATTCACACTAATTATAATTTGAGATGGAAATTAATAAATGTGGCCCTCAATTTATGTTTGTTGTTATTTTGTCATGTTCAATGTACAAAACTAAACAAAACAAAACAAAAAAATCGAAAGCAAATAAGAGAAAATATTGAAAAACCAAAATTTAACTAAAAAATGAAAAACTCAATTAAGAACAAAAAATAAACTCAAAAGAAAAAAAGAAAACTCATAGAATTAGAATTCAATTTCATCAAATTCCAAAACAAAAACAAACAAAAAACAAATCAAGTGTAGTTTATCTTTCCTTAAATGATTTGAAGGGAAATTCTGGGTGGAAGGATGAGAGTTTGAGGGGGGAAAGACAAAGAAAATCATGGGGGAGAAAGAACTCAAGTAATCCGGTCTGTTTTTGGCACTTAAGGCATTATCAGACGGTATGGGTTTTACATATGTGCTGTCACTTTTATTATCCATGTGTATTTCAAAATTGCCATTTTAAATATGACTTATAATTTTTCCAACCATGTAATTATATATGTTTTTATTATTTTCTTTGATTATATTATATTATATTATATTATATTATATTATATTATATTATATTATATTATATTATATTATATTATATTATATTATATTATTATACTTTATGCATGAATTTTAACCGTAAATTTTATATTTTATATATTTTCAAACAACGAATAAACAATGCTTTTGATTAAATTATATTTTCTGATGGAAATAGGGCTCGCGTGATCGAAAAAGTACATATGTACCATGGTAGAAGAATACAGAAGAAGAATACATATGCCATTTTTTTTAAATGTTCCATCAAAAATAAGTATATTTTATAAGATTTCTTATACGACAAGAATCGGAGGCTGGTATAATTTGCATTTTTCAAAAAAAATTAATAATTTGAATAATTTTTCATACAAAATTTTCAATTTCAAAATTGGTTTGACAGTTCATTGTTCCAGCAGCTGTGTCGATTCTACTATCTGTATTCTTCTACCATGATATGTTCTTTACCCATGTATTTCACAACTGAAATGTCGTTCATGTATCACACGATATGTGCAATTTCTACACATGGAAAATTTGACATTATATATGTAAAACACATTTCGTCGGATGGAGCCTTTACCTTGCAATAATTAAAAATTATAAATAATTTTTTAAAAAAATTTCATTTGACAACTTCTCATCGTAGAAATTTATATTCATAAATCCATTGTATACACAGAAATCGGAGATGGGAACCAGTTCAGCGAAATTTGACAAGGTAAATTAAAAAAAATGCACAGATGGATAGTCTTATTTGAAATGACATTACCTTCTTAATTTTACTATGCCAAATGCACTATTTTGTCAATTTTTATGTCGTCTGCAATTTCATTATTAAAATTTATCAAAAAATATGTAAACGCACATATCAATGGTAAAATGTAGAAGGTATAGTCATTTCAAGTAAGCATATCCATCTGTGCATATTCTGATAAATTTTCACTGCATAGAAAACAGGCTCCCATCTCTGATCTCTGGCGATGGATTTATAAATATACAATTTTACAATGAGATTTTGTCAAATGAATAAACTACCGGATCCGTACGTATGTTGTAGTAAAATACAACTCTGATTAAAGATAATAGGTGTGTCTGGTTACCTTAAAATTTGTAATAATTGTTGCAAATTGTTACTTGCTTTTTAACTCAAGACAAATTTTGAAGTTTTTTTTTCACTGAGAGATTTCAAAATATTTCTGGACAATTTTTTTCATGCAATCACTTGCAACTCTTCTTCTTCTCCTTCCAGTGATTTATATTTGGGCAAACAATTCATATGTTTTGCATTTTGGAAATTGCAAGCGTAAATATTTTGTTTTTCGGCTCCATTTTAATTTTTTCGTTTCTGTTAATGCCACACAAATGGCTTTGTTTTGACAAATCAGCTGATTGCTTGGAAGTCAGGGATTCCGTCTGTTTACTTTTTGCAGTTTATTTTTTTGCAAAAGAGAATAAAACTACCTTAAGGTTAGAGTACATAAAAAGCTTATTTTGACTGGCTTAAATCAACGGCTGGCTCCTTGGAAAAGAAAAAAGGAGCGTTGGACAAAAATCGAACTAAGTCAACCTATTACTCTTTTGTTCCTCTACGAAGAAGCCAGCCGATGACTTAAACCTGTCAAAAATGCGTTTTATGTACTCTCATCTTTACTCTCTGCAAAAGGTGTTGCTGGACAATTGTTGCAGAAAAAGTGACTAGATACACTTATTTTTTCTTTTGTTGAGGCTTGAACACATTTTTTAAATCCAGTGGCTTTCAAGTGTCAATCCCATTCGTATATGTCAAATCTTAAATCCAGTGGATTTCATTTGACGTATGGTAGAAAGATACAGGTAGTCGCATCGACACAGCTGCTGGGACAATGAACTGTCAAACCGATTTTGGAATTGAAAATGGTGAATGAAAAATTATTAAAATTTGTTGAAAAATTCATATTATAACAACCTTTGATTTGCGTCGTATAAAAAAAACTTTTAAAAATCCACTTAATTTTCATAAAACATTTTAAAATTTTTGACATATCAATGTTTCCAAGCGATGATGCATCTACCTATATTCTTCTACCATTATTTGACGTATACGCATTGGAATTGACTTTTGAAAAACATTTGGATTTATTATGCGTGTACGCGTTTAAACCTCAGGTTACTGTCTCTCGCTATTGACAACTGATGACAAATTGGCGTCTATTCCCTCACCAACTTCATGTTGAGTTATCTCGCTCTCTCGCCTCTGGTATGGTCACAAATTTCTGTCCACTTAATGACGCAACATAACTTTTCAATTGCTGTAAATGCGTTTCGATTGTAAATTTTTTAATGATAATTTATTATCATGACAATTACTCTATCATGGACTTTATGACGTAAATTTTCACATAATGTACGTCATATATCAAGATAATGCAGATTATCATGATACAATGCGAAACATGCGTTAAATGACCACACTCGAATGGAAAATTTGTACAGGAACGATAAGAATCTGATCTACAATGAAGTGGTTCACGTTTTTTTTATTATAAAAGATTGATATTTTTAAAAAATAAAGCCTTGTTTACACACATGTCTTTTGATAGACCACAATGTCTAGTATCATGGTAGTAGAATATAGGTAGATGCATCAACGCTTGGGAACATTGATATGTCAAAAATTTTAAAATTTTTTATGAAAAAATAAGTGAATTTTTAAATGTTTTTTTTATAGGACGCAAATCAGAGGTTATTATAAAATGCATTTTTCAACAATTTTTACAAATTTAAATAATTTTTCATTCAACATTTTCTATTCCAAAATCGGTTTGACAGTTCATTGTCCCAGCAGCTGTGTCGATGCGACTACCTGTATTCTTCTACCATGGTCTAGTATATAAGGTAATATTTTGCTTACTGTTCATTGAGGGGAGAATATATAAAAAGCTTTTTTGAATGGCTTACGTTGGTTAAGGTTGGCTTTTTCGGAAAAGAACAAAGGAGCGTTGGGCCAACATCGAACTAAGTCAACCTAAAACTCCATTGTTCCTTTACGAAGAAGCCAGTCGATAACTTATGCCAGTCAGGAAAGCCTTTTTATGTCACCAATGGTAGAAGAATGCAAGTAGATGCATCAACGCTTGGGAACATTGATAGGTCGAACTTTGTGAAATATTTTCTCAAAAATAAGTACATTTTTATAGGTTTTCTTATACAACAAAAACCTTTCGTTATGATGCGAATTTAAATAGTTTTTCATTCAAAAAGTTCCCTTCCAAAATTGGTTTGACAGTTCATTGTCCCAGCAGCTGTTTTCATGCGACTACATGTATTCTTCTATCATAAAGGTTGGAATACATAAAGCGCTTATCTGATCGGCTTAAGTCATCAGCTGGGTTCTTGGGAAATGAACCTAGGAGCCTAGGGTCAAAATCGAACTAAGTCAACCTAAAACTTCTTTGTTCACCTACGAAGAAGCCAGGCGATAATTAATTGCCCATTATTAAGCCAGCCAAATATGCGTTTTATGTATTTCCGCCCTAAATCTTTCATACTGTACATGACACAATAATAAGGTGTTCCTGCTAATTTTAAAACCCAGATTTAATGTCAAAATTTGTTTACTTTTGTGGTTATTTGTTTATCTTTTGTTATGTGGTTCTAATCATAATAATACATGCTGACATTAAATTCGGTAGCCAGCTGACTTTGGAAGGGGGGACCTTGGACTTGGGCCATGATACTGTAATTCCATTCAAAATGAGTGTTTTGACAACTAATCTAGACGATCAGCTGCGCAAAATACATTATCTATTGATTGCGCCAGGATTCGAAACTTACAGTACGTTTACATGCAAATCTTTATCCGGGTTAAAAATACGTTTACAAAAAAAAACTCTACCCAGATTAACACTGATAATTGATCAATCACAATAAATTTGACCACACAAAACATGCATAACATTTATTGTGATTGGTCATCTATAAGTGTTAATCATAGTAGTGATTTTGTATGTAAACGTACTTCAACCCTGATAATTGCCCGATCACAATATATTTTACAATGGAAAACAAAGTTAAAATTTATTTGTGATTGGTCAACTATCAGGATTAACTCGGCTACTGATTTTGTAAGAGTTACATGATGTATACAACACTTAATTGTGTATAATTTACATGGTAGAAGAATACAGGTAGATGCATCAACGCTTGGGAACATTGATATGTCAAAAAAAATTTAATGTTTTCTCAAATATAAGTAGATTTTTATATGTTTTCTTATACGACGCCATTCGCAGGTTATTATAACTTGCGTTTTTCAACAATTTTTAAAAAGTTAAATAATTTTTCATTCAACATTTTCAATTCCAAAATTGGTTTGACAGTTCATTGTCCCAGCAGCTGCGTCGATGCGTCTACCTATATTCTTCTACCATGAGAATTTGACAGCTCAGAACCAATATATCCTTTATTATATCGAAGATATTTGCCTAGCTAGTGGATTCTTATAGGTTCTAGAACAGAGCATATAATATCTAAAAATTGCAAAACTAGAAGATTCTTGCAAATTCTGAAATTGAGCCTCTATTATAGGGAATCAGCGAAATATAGGAAATATAGCAAGGGCTATACACACTCGCATGAAGTGTTTTAGTACTTTACATAAGTTTTGATGTTAATAAAGGGAAGGAGGTTTTTCAATATTTTCTCATCAACTGTCAAATGTATTTTTATGAATAGATTTTAATAATGTATATTCAGTACTGTTTCTATATAAAATTATAAACACATGATTGCATGACTTTACCCTCTTAAGGTGAAAATATATAAACCAAAAAAAAAAAAAAAATTCAAACAACGGTTTAGGGTGCGGTTTAGGCTAGGCATACTAATGTCAAATTATAATGGAAAACGACGGAAGTTTTTTTTTAGTGCGGCTCTGTAATCCCTTTATAAAATGTCACAAAATATGCCAAGCCATGACTTCAGGCTTTTTATGAACTTAAGGTGCAAGTACATAAAAAGTTTGAAGTCATGGCTAGGCATATTAATGTCAAATTATAATGGAAAACGACGGCAGTATTTTAGTGCGGCTCTGTAATCCCTTTATAAAATGTCACAAAATATGCCTAGCCATGACTTCAAGCTTCTTTTGTACTTACACACTTAGACTGGGAATACATAAAGCGCATATTTAACTGGCTTCAGTCATCGGCTGGCTTCAGTCATCGGCTGGCTTCTTTGTAGAGGCACAAAGGAATTTTGGTTTGACTTAGTTCTATTTTGACCCTAGGCTCCTTTGTTCATTTCCAATCAAGCCAGCCAATGACTTAAGCCAGTCAAATAAGCGCTTTATGTATTCCCACCTTTACGTCTTTAAGTCATCGGCTGGTCCATGGTAGAAGAATACAGGTAGTCGCATCGACACAGCTGCTGGGACAATGAACTGTCAAACCAATTTTGAAATTGAAAATTTTTAATGCAAACGTATTCAAATTTGTTAAAACTGTTAAAAAATGCATGCTATAACAACATCCGATTGACGTCGTATAACGAAACCATATAAAAATCTATTTATTTTTTAATAAACATTTGAAAAATTTTGACAAGCGTTGATGCATTTCCCTGTATTATTCTACCATGGACAGGTTTCTTCGTAAAAGAATAGACTCGTAGATGGATGGTCCAAAATCGAACTAATTCAACCTAAAACTCCTTTGTTATTTTTAGCTGTTATAAGATGAAAAGGGGTTAACATATATGCTGTCATTTTTGGGGCTGTTCCAGAACCTGCAAGAATCTACTAGTTTCGCAACATTCTTCGATTTCATAAAGGAAAAAAAAAACGGTTATAGTAGTAAAAACTTTTACATTCTTGCAAATCTGGAACCGACCAATTTCTATTATCCATGTGTATTTTCGTATGTATGTCAAAATTGTCATTTTACATGTGACTCATAATTCTTGCTATCACACACTTGCATATGTTTTTCTTATTTCCTTTGGTTACATTTTTGCACCGTTCCAGAACTGCAAGAATTTAAATGCTTTTACTACGATAACCGACTTTTTTCTTTATGATATAGAGGAAAATCGCAAAACTAGTAGATTCTTGCTTGTACGGGATCGGAGCAAGTGATTGTATTTTTTAAAAAAATATATAATACTTTACAGATGACTTTTTACCGCAAATCAAATTTTACACAACAAACAAACAACACTTTTCATTAAATTATATTTTGCCGATGAAAATAGGGCTCGCTGTAATCGAAAAAGTACGTAAGTGGTGTGGAAGAAGAATATAAGTAGTCGCATCGGCACAGCTGTTGGGACAATGAACTGTCAAACCAATTTTGGAATTGAAATTTTTGAATGAAAATTTATTGAAATTTGTTAAAACTGTTGAAAAATGCATGGTATAACAACCTCCGATTGACGTCGTATAATGAAACCATATAAAAATCTATTTATTTTTGAAGAAACATTTGAAAAATTTTGACATACCAATGTTCCCAAGCGTTGACGCATCCACCTGTATTCTTCTACCATGGTAAGTGGTTTACTCATGTATTTCACAACTGAAATTTCGTCTATGTATGACACGATGTGTGCAAACTTTTGCCGATGAAAATAGGGATCGCTGTAATCGAAAAAGTACATAAGTAATTTACTCATGTATTTCCATTGTAGAAAAATATAGGTAGACGCGTCGACACAGCTGCTTGGACAATGAACTGTCAAACCAATTTTGGAATTGAAAATGCTGAATGAAAAATTATTTAAATTTGTAAAAATTGTTGAAAAACGCGAATTATAATAGCCTCCGAATGACGTAGTATATGAAAGTATATGAAAATCTACTTATATTTGAAAAAACATTTAAATTTTTTTGACATATCAATGCTCCCAAGCTTTGATGCATCTACCTGTATTCTTCTGCCATGTGTATTTCACAACTGAAATATCGTCCATGTATCACACGATGCGTGTAATTTTTACATATGGAACATTTGACACTACATGTGTAAAAAACATATATTTTACGAAGAAATCAGTTGATGAATTAAGACTGTAAAAAAAAACTTTCTATGTCTTCTCACCTTTAGATAGAACAATAATAAAAGAGCAAAATGTCAAAATAAGATGGCAACTCATCAAAATCAACGTATCAATCAATTAGGAGCTGTCAATCAGTTAATTTTACTCGACTAATTTTTCGAATAAAATATTTTAAAAGCACAAAATTTAATGAGAAACATTAAAGGTGAGAGTACATAAAGGGATTTTTTGACAGTCTTAAGTCAGCGGCTGGCTTCCTTGAAGAGATATAAAGGAGTTTTAGGTTGACTTAGTTCGATTTTGGCCTTTCTCCCCTTTTGTTTTTTTGTTCTTTGTTTTTTTTTTTTCGAAAAAAGGTTTTATGTATTCCCACCTTAGATTGTTTTCAGAACCATTTTATAAAAAAAAACTGTTTATCCAAAAACAATTTTTTCAATCAGGAATTTTTTTCGTATTACCTTTTGAATTCCTCTATCGATATTTTGCAATAAATAATAAAAGCAACAAGTGTCGTCAGGATTTAAAGCCAATAATTTGTGCATATGAATTGAAGTACTTCACATCACCAGTAGCTGACGTAGTCGTAGCAATGCTAACCAAGTTAATTCTAATGAATTACTTAATGTTGACCGAAAACATATTGGACTAATGGAATTAAAAACCACCAAGCATATTTCACGATAGCAGTTGTTGTGCGGCAAATAATGTTATCTGGAAGCCAGGCGGAATGTTTGGTTTGTAACCACAAAATCAAATGAGGGGTAAATTATGTTATTAACAGAACATGGTTAACACTTGGTGGCCACCCACCCACCCACACGCACAACAACTGCTCACAAATGTATGTTTACACATGTAGCCAACGATAGACAGTTATCGCCAGATTGTGTAGATGTTGTTGATGATGGTGTCAATGGCGAGGATTTTCTAGTGTTTTGTTTGATCATATGGCTAAATGGTCGTCGGTTAGTGGTTACTAAATGATACAAATCCTTAAAACAACAAAAGTCACAGTACACACATTTGTGGTGAGGCAGCTCCAATGGGAGTGGAGGTGGGGGTGGGTGGGAGCACAGTCTCATTCTGTTTGATGTGTTAATTGAAACAGACTGTCATCTCCTTTGGCTGCAGCAAAAATGGTATATAAATGCCCGGCGTCACAGTGAAAATTCATGCAGTGTTCGGTGTTCACTTTTAGAAGTAACAACCAACTAACGACCAGCTAAACGAAGCGAAAACGAAATATCCTTGAAATTTCTGAAGCAACTTTGACAGAAAGCCGCCCAACAACCGACTGAAGCAAAATGAATTTCTATATATTATCAGTATTATTGTTGGCTGCCTATACCATGGCCATGCCACAAAAGGTAAGTGTTCTGATATTGATATTGATTTTTTTAATTTGATAAAGATAATGACACGTTTTTTTAATTGATTTCTTTTTCATGTATCGCCTTAGACCCCTTTATGTAAGTATGGGCTATTCTTATAATAATCTTGGCAACCCTACCATGAAATGTAACCAAAGCTAGAAAACGGTTTAAGAAAGGGTTTGCACAATTGATTTTTTGTGGCTTGAGTGCCCAAGTAACACTAATAGTATGTTCCTATGGACTATTTGGTGTTATTTAGGTGGGAAAAATGCATTTTCATATTGGATAATACATTTACTCATAGAAAATGTATGAAATTATGGAAATGTGTTATATTTTGTTTATGAAAATAATACTTTCATATGAAAATAATGTTTTTTTTATGAAAATAACTTTTTTTAATGAAAATAATATTTTTGGAATGAAAATAATATTTTTTTATAAAAATAATTTTTTTTTTAAGAAAATAATATTTTCAAAAAAAAATATTTTCTTATGAAAATAATATTTTTTATGAAAATAACATTTCCTTATGAAAATAATATTTTTTTATTAAAATAATATTTTTTTATTAAAATAATATTTTTTTATGAAAATAATAATTTTTTTAAAATATAATAATTTTTCATAAAAAAATTATTTTTTTATGAAAATTATAATATTTTTTAAAAATAATGTTTTTTTATAAACAAAATATTTTCTTTCTTGTGAAAATAATATTTTCTTATGAAAATATTTTTTATGATTTTTGTTATGAAAATAATATTTTTTTATAAAAATAATTTCTTAAGAAAATTTTATTTTTTTATAAAAATTTTATTTTTTATGAAAATAATATTTTCTTATGAAAAAAAGGGGTTTCTTATGAAATAATATTCTCATAATAATCTTGGCAACCCTACCATAAAGTGTAACCTAAGCTGGCAAAACGGCTTAAGTAAGAGTTTGCACAATCGATTTTGTGTTGACGCCTGAGTGCCTATGTAACACTAATAGTATGTTCCTACGAACTTAGTGGTGTTATTTAAGTGAAAAAATGCATTTTCGTATTGGATAATACATTTACTCATAGAAAATGTTTAAAATTATAGAAATGTGTTAACTAATATGAAAATAATATTTTAATATGAAAATAATATTTTTTACGACAATTATATTTTTTTATGAAAATTATATTTTTTTATAAAAATAATATTTTTTATGAAAATAATATTTTTTTACAAAAATAATATTTTTTTATGAAAATAATATTTTTATGAAAATAATAATTTTTTAAAATATAATATTTTTTTAAAAAATAATATTTTTTCATAAAAAAATACTTTCTTTCATATGAAAATAATATTTTCTATAAAATTATTTTTTTTTTATTTTTTTTATGAAAATAATATTTTTTTATGAAAAGGGCTTGCACAATCGAATTTGTGTTGTGGCCTGAGTCTCCAAATAACACTAATAGTATGTTCATACGAAATTATTGCTGTTAGTTTAGTGAAAAAAAAAATTGTTTATTGAATAATACATTTACTCAAATGTATTAAATTATGAAAATGTGATAAATAATAAATTTTCCAATATGAAAACAATATTTTTTTATGAAAAAAAAATTTTTTTTGAGAATATTAATTTGGAAAATATTTCTTTATGAAAATAATATTTTCTTATAAAAGTAATTTTTTCCTATGAAAATAATATTTTTTTATGTTTTTTTATAAAAATAATAATTTCTTATGAAAATAATATTTTAGTCATAAAAAATATTTTTTATGAAAATAATAATATCTTAAGAAAATAATATTTACTTATGAAAATAACATTTTCTTATGAAAATGTTTTTTTTATGAAAAGGGTTTGCACAATCGAATTTGTGTTGTGGTCTGAGTGCCAAAAAACACTAATAGTATGTTCATACGAAATAATTGCAGTTAGTTAAGTGAAAAAAAATTTTTTTAATCATAGAAAATGTATTAAATTATAAAAATGTGATAAATACTATTTTTTATGAAAATAATATTTTTTTAAAAAATAGTATTTTTTTTAAATGCTATTTTTTTTTTGAAAATATTATAAATTCTCCATACTTTTCCATTTCCCCATTTTATTGTGTTTAGCTTCCGAAGAGGAATTTGGCGCCATTAGAGGTAATACACTGCATGATCGTTACCAGATGTTTGTTATTGCACCCGTACGCACCGATGATCACCAACGACATAGCTTAGATGCTTTACGAGGTTTGAATGACAATGATTTGCTGTCATTTTTATATTCCAAAAGGATGGTAGATAAACGAAGCTTGGATAGTATCGGCGGTGGTCATTTGATTTAAGGCCTCACAAAACTTCTGTTGCACAGTTTTTGATTTTGGATTACAAAAAAATATATAAAAAATATGAATTAATGATTGATACGCCCCGAAAGCATGTCGCATGTGACTAATTAATAAGTTATCGCATATTTATTTAGCTTCTTTCTTTCTTTCAATTTTTTTTGTTTATTTATCGATAACATAATTAATCTATAATCTATTTCATTGTGTATAGCAACCAAAAGACAAACATATGTATAAGCATGAAAAGAGCTGGTAATTTGCATGACAATAATAGTAGTAAAAGAAAAACAACAAAAAATATAACAAGCATAAACATAAACATTTGTTTGTATTTTTTTTTTCTTGTAATAAATTCTCTTCCTTAGCTTACCTGAATTCAATCAATACGGACTCCACACAAATGTTACGGTAGTATATTTAATATTACACTTAATTTACAATTTCTTCTATTCCTTTCACAATAATGTGTGTATTTTTGAAAAAAAAAAAATTATATTTTTTGCAGAAGAATGTTACTTTCCAAACTAATCGCGCAATGTGAAAATCAAAACAAATCTTTGCGCAGCAACTTGTGCTCCCATCTTTTGGAGGAAGTCTACTTTACACCCGAACTACAAATCCCCTCTGACAGTTCAAAGATCAAAAAGAATTTTGATGAAATTGACAAGGCCTCGGCTAGCTTTAGCACTCTTAATCAATTGATTTAAATTGCCGTCCACCGAACTGAACATTTGAAGTAGAAGAAATGCATACGAGATGATAATGGTGTCCAATGTAATATTACAGATCAACTTATGGTATTTTTTTATTAGTTTTATTTTAGTCAAGCAACGTTGTGAATTTACATTTAACATAGAAAACAAAATATTTAATAAAATGGAATGAAAAAAAAAAAAAAAATAAAAATAATTTAAATTTGTTGTCATTTTTAAATATCCAATAAACTGTCAGAATATTAAGTTATATTAAGGAAAAACCCATGGTAAAATTAAGAAGGTAAAGCCTTTTCAAATAAGCATTCTCATCTTCACATTTTCTGTAATTAAACTTGTCAAATTTTACTGCATGAATAACAGGTTCCCATCTCTGATTTGTGTATGCACAATGGATTTATAAAAATACATTTGATAATGAGATGTTGTCAAATGAATAATTTTTTAAAGAAAAATTATAAACATATGTTTACATGACTACCTACTTCATTCTACCATGGATGAACCCATGGTACAATTACAATGGTAATCCCATGCAATCATACGACTACAATTTTTGTTTTATTGTAAAATTTATATTTTATATTTCATCCCGTGGTAAGAGAATACAGGTAGAAGCATCACCGCCTGGGAGCATTGATATGTCAAATAATTTTAAATGTTTTTTTTTTTTTTTTCAAATATAATAATTTTTAAATAATTTTTCATTCAACATTTTCAATTCCAAAATTGGTTTGACAGTTCATTATCCCAGCAGCTGTGTCGATATGTCAAAATTTTGCACATTCATTTTTTTCATAAAATAAAAGTAGTGTTGTAAATATTTTATTTATTATTTATTAATTTTTTTTACAAATTTGAATAATTTTTCATATAAAAATGTCGATACGGTTACCTGTATTATTCTACCATGGTTCTTCCATAGCCGGGAAACTGGGAAGATTTTTTTTCATTTTTTTCCGACGAAATATTTTGCCTTTCTCACGCCTTGTATACCCTACATGAAAAAAAAAACAAATAAAGCTCCAACAGATGAGCCATGGCGAAAAGGTTTATAACACCGTACTCACATAATAAATCTAGTGGATTTATACTGTCAATTTTATTGCGAATACGTCAAATTAGATCCACGGGATTTGAGAGATTATCTCATTTGACGTATTCGCTATGGATTTGATAGTTAAGATCCACTCGACTCAGACACCTAAACAACAGCTAAGATTTTTCAAACTCGCAATAATTCAACTGTCAAAATTGTTGTAATCCCACAGCATAGATTTATGATCTGATTTATGTGTATACAATGCATTTAGAAATATACATATTGGCAGAAGGTGTTGTCATATGTATAATTTTGAAAAAAAAAAAAAATGTCGACATGGTTTCTTTCTTAAATCAAGCGTGGCTAATACATTGAAATATGATTTATTTTCCTTGCAGATGCCTACATGATCTTTGTTGTGAATGTATACATAATCAACCATCAGCTGATGGTAATTTCTATCATTCCCAAAGGCACTATCAGACGGATTGTGTTTTACATATGGAATGCACAATTTTTCATATACATATATAAGTTCCACCTATCGTGTGATACATGGACGACATTTCTGTTGTGATATACATGAGTAAAAGACATACGTACTTTTTCGATCACTGTGAGCCCTATTTCCATCGGAAATATATAATTTATTGATAAGTGTTGTATGAACATATATAATATTCAAATTGTGGTAAAAATGCATCCTGAAAGTATTATATTTTGTAGAAAATACAATATAATAAAATGTAATCAAAAGATATAAAAAAAACATATGGAAGTGTGTGATAGCAAATATTATGAGTCACATGTAAAATGGCAATTATGACACACACACATATGTAAAATCCATTCCGTCTGATAATGTCTTTAGTTGTAGGATAAAAAAAAACATATGGAAGTGTGTGTCATATGTAAAATGGCAATTTTGGCACATATGTAAAACCCATTCCGTCTGATGGTGTCTTTAGTTGTAAAACACATAAGTACATAGGTACTTTTCCGATCACAGAGTTTAAAATTAGTTTAGTTGTGAACATGGTATAAGAATATAGGCAGACGCATCGACACAGCTGCTGGGACAATGAACTGTCAAATCAATTTTTGAATTGAAAATGTTGAATGAAAAATTATTTTAATTTTTAAAAATTGTTGAAAAATCCGAATAAAAGAAAACATAATAAATCTACCTATATTTGAAAAAACATTTAAAATTTTTTTACTTATCAATGTTCCCAAGCGTTAATATATAAGCGCTGGTATATACCTGTATTCTTCTACCATGGTTGTGAAATATGAACCCATTTCTTTTGAGTCTTTTGAATATAGCAAACTAATGCTAGGTTTACATTAAGTATCGTTTAAAAAATACTTAAAAATTGTCATTTCCATAGATTTTTTTAAAGGCACGAATTTCAGTCTTTTAAGGTTACATTGTTATATGCATAAATTGTTCGAATTAAATTACACAATTTAAATTTTTCAACAAATAAAAATTTTATTCAATAATTTGAGCTCCAATAATCAATGACAAAAAAAAAACATTTAAAAAAAATACATACATATAATTGCAATTAAATACATAAATACATTATGGAAATTTTAAATTCGGATTTTGGGCGAAATATAAATCCAATTTGTTACAATTTACTTTCTTATTGAGCCAATACAGTTTTATGGTATAATAATAATTGTCGTTGCTTAATATTTATATATAACTTTAATTTTTTTATATATGGAGTAGATTTAGCTGTTTGTATTGCTAACTGTACAAAAAATAAAAACGAGAACATTAATAGCTAAAATGTGTCGGTGATAATGAAAATGTGTGGTGGTTAGAATGCATGTGATTTGTGTGGAGTTTTAGTTTTCGATTTACAGGATTCTCTTCTTTTTACTTTTTAATAATAAATTAAACAAAATAAAATTTACAAAATATGTATATAAATGAATTTAATAGATGCATGATAATTTGTGAATATTGAGTATTTTATGTTGCTGTTGTTGTTGTGTGTGAGTGTGTGAAATTTTTAAAAGTAATAAAATACATATGTGTTTTAGGGCAATTTTTCACAAACTTTCATAGATTCCCGGTCACATAATAAATTTGCTTCTGGCAATTCTTTTTAAGATGCCGTTTCGCAAATGTTTGAGATAGCTCAATAATATAAAAACATCTTGGAGTAAATTTATGCTGTGTCCAGACACCTATAAAATGCTTATAATAAGAGATTCTGAATCTCAGAAATCAAACATTGCAATTTTCGTAAATTTCCTTTCATTAAAATTTTCTGTGTCTGACTTCCTCATAAAGATGGAGGCACATAAGCAGTATGGAATACTTGGCAGCATTGTATGAAGAAATACCTGCATACAATGCTGCCAACTTTTCAATTTTGGTTATGTGTCTCCACCAACAAGTCCATGTGAGTAAATTAAGAAAGGAAAGTATTTTTCGTCTGTAGGACGCGATGAAAATACAAAGGATAATATTTATATGTAATATTGTACATTATAGGCTACATCGATACCTATAGGGTTTGAAGGGGGTTTATATTAAAACGTTTTATTGCTCTGTTCCAGAACAGGCAAGAATCTATTGGTATTTTAAACTTTTTTCGATAACATAAAGGAAAATCGGTTATCGTAGTAACATTTTTACATTTTTTGCGGCTTCGGAACCAAGGCATATACAATGGATAATTGAGAAAGTAACCGATATTCTTGCTCTGTTCCAGAACTTGCAAAAATCTACTATTTTCGAAATTTTTTTCTGATATCATAAAAGAAAAAATTCTGACATCATAAAATTCTTGCAGTTCTGGAACAAATTCTATTTTAGAGTTTAAATCAGCTGGAATTCGGATATTTAACATATTTTGAAGTTATGATATAAGGCTCTGAAATGATCTATTTAATATGAAATGCATAAAAATATACTTCAAATCGTTCATGACATAGCATGGCAGAAGAATATAGGTAGATGCATCAACTCTTGGGAACATTGAAATGTCAAAATTTTTAAAATATTTTGTCAAAAATAAATCGGTTTTTATAGATTTTCTTATACGACGTCAATCGGAGGTTTTTATGATATGCATTTTTCAACAATTTTTACGAATTTGAATAAATTTTCATTCAAAATCTTTAATTGCAAAATTGTCTTGACAGTTCATTGTCCCAGCAGCTGTGTCGATGCGTCTACCTAAATTCTTCTACCATTGCTTCTACCATATAAATCCAGTGGATGTTATTTGACGTTTACGCTGCCGAATTGACATTTGAAATCGAGTGAATTTCATAAATCTAAACGTGCTTTAAGGTCATGTTTATATTATGATAGAAGAATACAGGTAGTCGCATCGACGCAGCTGATGGGACAATGAACTGTCAAACCAATTTTGAAATTGACAATTTTCAATGAAAAATTATTCAAATTCGTTAAAATTCTTGAAAAATGCATATCAAAATGACCTCCGATTAACGTCGTATAAGAAAAAAAAATAAAAATCTGCTTATTTTTGAAAAAGCATTTTAAAATTTTTGACATAAGCGCTGATGCATCTACATGTTTACTTTTACCATAATTTGCATTGAAACCCTTTTATTCGGAACACTACTCTCTTATGATCAATTTATGTCCAACTATTAATGTCCAATTTAGCAGTTCGAAATGAAGAAGAAATCGGCCTTTAAATCCCTATAGGTATCGATATCTGTAAACAATCATTTTTTTGTTTTCTTTTCCTAACCTAAATATGCAAATGGATTATAGGCAGGTGGGAAATAGCCAGGGAAGGGATTAGCTGTGGGTTGTACAGGCACCGATGTCGTTACATATGTTGTCTGCAGAGTGGGCACAACTTGTGTCGAATACAATGTGGTGTAGGCGGTTTTCGCTCCAAATGTCAGTTTCAAAACCTTACTCTCAGTTTGTGTAACAATTGTCTGTTGTACAACGGGTGTTGTGATGGTCTGGAACTGTTGCAATTGTGGCAATAGGAATGGATTTGGTAGGGTGGTCGGTGGTAATATCGGTGCTGGTACAGTTGTGGTGTCAACAACATATTCTGTCTTCTCTACAACACCCTTTGCCTTGGAGAGCGTACGATAGAAGGTGGATGGTCCATTTGTAATGGGCACCACATATGATTCCCATTGTGTTTCCAATTTAATGACAGGCCGTGAATTGGTAATGACATTTTGCAGGAGATTTTGTTGATCCGAGGAAAGGGTTGGCAATATGGCTGCCGTTTTATTACCATGACCCAAACCATCCAAATCCAAATGATGTTTATGTCCAGACTCATGGCTAGCCTCCTGATTATTACCCTCATCACCGAATTCCAAATCTAAATTAATCTCAGAACCTGCCTCATCCAAATTGCCTACAAAATCTTGGAAACCATGAAAATCTTTAGTTTCCATGTCGGGTGAAGTGGTCTTAACCACGGTTATTAAACTTGTCATATCGATCGTCTGGACCAAAGTGTGATAAGTTGTTAGGTTATGTAACTCATTTATGACAGGCAGAATTTGTGTTTTTAGTTTTTGATTGACAACACTAAACGATTCGGTTACCGTTTCCAAATAGGGTGTGTATGAATCATTGTTAACGTAAATAGGTGCCAAGGTACTAACACTTCCCATCAAAATGCCGCTGCTAGGTTTCTCGGTGGCTGCCAAAATATTCTCCGTAAGGGGCTCATCATCATTGCGCGGTTCAATCGATGGTTCACTGGTTAGGAACTTTTCAATGGTCGAAGTTACCGTAATGTAGCGTGTCTTTTTCAAGACGCCAGCCTGAAAAGAAGTAGAAAAAAAATTTAATTATTTTTTCGTGTTTATATATATAATATAAAATAATAATATATAACCGGCTTTTTCTTTGAAAAATTCATGAAGAAAACAAAAGGTGAGAATACATAAAAGGCTTTTTTGTCTGGCTTAAGTTGAGGGTACATAAAACGCTTTTTTGACTGGCTTAAGTCATCGGTTGGCTTGGAACAAAGTAGTTTTAGGTTGACTTAGTTCGATTTTGACCTACGCTCCTTAGTTTTTTAATTCTCAATTTATTTCATTTTTCACTCAACGTTTCGTTGTTTTTTTTTCAACTTCTACAGGAGCCTTTTTATTGCAATTCAATTACTTTTCCTTGTCATATTTTTGTAAATAATTCATATTTATATAAAAAACTGGATATCCCAATGGATATTTGTTTGTTCTTTATCACAGAGTTGTACTTTTTAAATCAGTTAAATTAGTTCAATATAAAAATGATTTGTGATCCGAATACTTCAAATTTCGGGCGTATAAAACCTATTCAAAAAATTGAGTAAAAGAAATTTATGGGGCTGTTTTTGTATTCCAATATTTTCCGCACAAAGTAGTTCTCTGTCCCATTTACAAAAAATGAACTTTATATGTGGCCAGACAGCTTAGCATGAAAATTATGCTGTCATGGTACAAGAATACAGGTAGATGCACCAGCGCTGGGAACATCGATACGTCAAAAATTTTTGAATGTTTCTTCAAAAATAAGTAAACTTGTATATGTTTTCCTATACGAATTGGAGGTTGTTACGATATCAATTTTTTAAAATTTTTACAAATTTAAATAAATTTTCATTGAAAAATTTCAATTCCAAAATTGGTTTGACATTTCATTGTCCCAGCAGCTGTGTCGATGCGACTACCTATATTCTTCTACCATGGATGCTGCCCAAAGTAAAAGTAAAGGCATTTTCAGACGGAATGGGTTTTACATACGTGCTGTCACTTTTATCCATATATATTACCGGTTGTGTGTCAAAATTGCCTTTTTACATGAAACTAATAATTTTTCTGATGAAAATAGGGTTCGCTGTTTTCGAAAAAGTACGTATGAACTTATGTGTTGTATACCATGTGTATTTTCGGGTGTGTGACAGAATTGTCATTTTACATGTGGCTCATTAGTTTTGCTATCACACACATACATATGTGTTTTTATTTCCTTTGATTATTATTTGCATTTTATATCAAATCTTAATATTTTTGGATACTTTTTTCCCTAAATTTAAAAATTCAAAATTTTGAATAAATTTTATTTTTTGATGAAATTAGGGCTCGCTGTGACCGAAAAGTACCTATAGACTTTACTTATGTGTTTTACACCTAAAGATATTATCAATCGGGATGTGGCTTACATATGAACTGTCACTTTTATTATCTTTTATCTTTTTTATTATTTTATATTTATTATCTTTTATTATGTCACTTTATATGTCATTTTTATTATCTTTTATCTTTATTATTATTTTACATTCATTATCTTTTATTATGTATTTTCGGGTGTGTGTCAAAATTGTCATTTTACATGTGGCTCATAATTTTTGCTATCACACACATGCATATGTTTTTTATTTCTTTTGATTATACTGTTATTTATAACAAATCCTAGTATTTTTTGGATGATTTTCTTTCTCTAAATTTTCACACTTTTGAATAGATTACATTTATCTGATGAAAATAAGGCTCGCAGTGATCGAAAAAGTACGTATATACTTATTTGTTTTTCAACTAAAGACTTTATCAGGCGGAATTTCCATGTGTATTTCCGGGTGTGTGTCAAAATTGCCATTTTACATATGACTCATAATTTATGCTATCACACGCTTGAATATGTTTTTTATTTCCTTTGATTACATTCTGATGTTGACATTTTATTTTATAAAAAAAATAAATTTATTGGATTAATTTTTACCGCATTTTTTATTTTATATATTTTCACACAACAAACAACAATTTTGAATAAATTACATTTTGACGATGCAATAAGGGCTCGCTGTGATCGAAAAAGTAGGAATGTAGCATGGTAGAAGAATATGGGTAGATGCATCGACACAGTAGCTGGGACAATGAACTGTCAAACCAATTTTAAATGTCAAAAAATTTTAAATGTCTCTTCAAATATAAGTAGATTTTTATTTGTTTTCTTATACGACGTCGTTCGGAGGTTATTATAATACACACTTTTTTTAAACAATTTTTACAAATTTAAATAATCTTTCATTCAACATTTTCAATTCCAAGATTGGTTTGACAGTTCATTGTCCCAGCAGCTGTGTCGACGTGTCTACCTATATTCTTCTACCATGGACAATACATATGTAAAAACATATCGTCTGATAGAGCCTTAAGTTTACAGTCCTGAAAGTTGACGCGAGTTGTCAAATAGATTGAAATTAAATTAAGCTGATGACCTAATGAGCTGCTTGCCCAGCTGGATTCATATACTTAAATCAAAAAATGCTCTGTTTCAAAACTACAAGAATTTACTAGTTTTTGGCAATTTTTTCGATATCATAAAGAAAACCTCGGTTATCGTAGTAATAACTTCTTGCAGTTCTGGAATTGAGCCAAAAAAAATATCCCCCTTTCCCTATTTGTCCTTACCTGGAATGTAAACGGCTTCTTAATTGTGGCTATTTCATAATAGGTATCCTTAAAATCAGCCGGTGTTGAAATTTCAACATTTATCGTTTCCGTGAAATACTTCTGTTTACCCTCTGGAGCGATATTATTGAGAACGGCTCCATTTTGTGAACCCTCAAAATCCAAATCACTTTGATTATAAATTCCATTGCCATTGAGGAAATTATTATTGGGGAAATTATCATTTAGACTTGGTTCCGGATACACTGACGAGACATTGGCCAAACCCAATGGACCGTTTACCTCCACCGAGGGCTTGCGTATTGAGACACGTGGCTTTGGTGATGTTTTGTATTGCCAACGACCGGGGGTGCGATTCAATTTCGTAATATGTAAATTATTGTTACTTTCTAAATCGGGATTTGAAATTTGAAGTTTGGGTTTAAATGCCCGTTTAACGCTGGCCTCGGTGGTGGTGGTTGTGGTGCCGCTGCTGCTGTATCTGGGTTTGGATGTGCTCGATGACGACGACGACGATGATGAAGATGATGAGGAGTGTTTGTTTTTGTTTTTCCTAAAAAGTGTTAATGAAAAAGAAAATGAAAGATGAGAAACGGAGAAAGCAGACAAAAAGATTTAATTACATAATATTTGGAATCTCTTGACCAAAACAAAGAAACGAAACAAAAACAATAAATTATACCTTTTGGGCTTATTACGGGAACTCGATGATGATGATGAAGACGATGACTTAACAATGACCACATCTTCTTTGGGCTGGGGTGTTGTTGTGGTGGTGGTGGTTGTGCGATGCGAACCTTTTTTGCTGCTCTTTCTTGAACTTGAGCTGGATGTGCCGCTGCTGCTGCTGCGATGGCTTGGTGCTTTAGAACTGGCAGTAACTTTGGGATGTTGTACCGGGGCAGCGGTCTTTAAGACCTGCAATGTTGAGGAAGCCCTTATTTTGTGTTTTTTATTTTTATGTGCCCGACTTGAGGAGGAGGAGGAAGCGGCTGAGGCCGTTACTCTGGTGGCCAAAACACTGCTGGTAGAGGCAGTGTTCTTTTCCGGTGTAACAACCACGGCGGGCCGGGAATTTTTATTATTTGGCCTTAAGCTGACCACTCGATAGTTTTCCTCCACATATTGGGGTGGTTGTCGTGAAAGTAGATCATATTCCGGATCATGGACAACATTGTCAATTACAATTGATGGCTGTGATGATGATGATGCTGGTGCTGCAGCTGGAGATGCTGATGTTGGCGACGTCGAAGATGTTGAGGTTGGTTTTTTGGGCAACTGAACAGGTTTGGCCTTTGCTGTAGTTGTTGCTGGCTCTTGTGCGCTAACCTGTGATGCCGGTACATTGGTCGATGTTGTTGTCGTCAATGCCGTAGTAGTTGATGTTTTCACTTCCGTAGCTTTTGGTTTTGTTGTACTTTCTTCATTATGGCTTGATTTTGATGTTGTCGTGGTGGTAGAAGAAGATTTCAGTTTAGTTGGGTTAATTGTAGTTTCATCAGCCTCCTTGGGCGCCACAGTTTCCAGGGGATTTGTTTTAATCAAAATTGGTGGCTCGGTTGTAACTGGTGGAGGAGGACCTAAACGGAAAAGGGAAATGTGGCCAATGGAGTAGTTGAATAATAATTTTTGAGAATAAAATGACTTACTGTTTGGTGTTGGCGGTGGGGCACTCTGTGGCGAAAATACCATAACCGTATTACCAATGGTCGTTGTAAAATCCAAAAATCCATATATGGTTTGAGTTAGTAGAGGAACTCCATCGCAAGAGGACAAATCCAATTGAGCTGTTAAAAGAATGCAGAGGGGTTTTTAGAGCGTTAATTTTAATATGTCTTTGTTTTTAATATAAAATTTGTTCAAATCACAAACTTTGAAATCTATGACGACATGTTTTTACCCGCAATTAATTGTGTGGTGGAGAATATTTGATGTATGGCCTAGCCGCTCTATGAATTCACTTAATCTTAACCTATGTTTTCACTCATGGAACAATGAATAAAAGTTGAGTATGTTTTTACCGTTAATTAATTGTGTGAGAGATAATTTGATGTATGGCCTAGCCACTCTATCAACCCGGCACTTTGGCGCCATCTTTTTTTCACTCATGGTACAATAAATAAAACGTAGGCCATAGTTACCCAGTTTTTTAAGTTTTATGGCTTATTTTGTCAAATCTTTATGACAATTGTATGTGTGTAAACGTGCTATTATTATGGTGGTTTATTTCGCACGATGACAATACATAGAAAAAAATTAACTGGCTTATGTTATTGGCTGCTTCTCCGCACAAAAAAAAACAAGGGAGCGTAGGGTGAACAGGTATACATTATGAGCCGAAATTGGACTAAGTTATTTTGTTTTTGGGGATGCTTGAAAGCAATCGGTGCAGTATAGGGTGAGATCAAACAACTGCAACCAACTTCAGTCTGCTGTCATTTCTAAGCCACTCGTCCGACAGCTGTTAAAATTATTCCAGTGACAGCACATTACATTCTTTACAAGCGTACAAAAGCATTTTGGTGAGAATTTTCCCGGAAAAATGTTATTCGTGATGGAAATCAAGCGTGATAATGTGATTTATTTATATTTGGCTGGAAAACCACAAATGGCTATCGTTCGAGCACTCCAGCATTTAAATGTGAATAAATCTTTTGTTTCTCGTACCATCGCTCTTTACCGTGATACTGCTGGCGCCAAGGAAGTGGACAGAAGAAAACAGCAACATCAGCAGAAATGGTTCGAAAAGTAAAGAAGCGACTTGATCGAAACTCGCATCGCAGTGGCCGAAAAATGGCTCGTAAGATGAACATATCGCAATATTCCATTCGGTAAATATTGAAAAATGAGCTCGGGGTAAAGCCATTGAAATTCCAAAAAGTGCAAGAACTCACACCGCAACAGAAAGAAAATAGACTCAAAAGAGCTAAAGAGTTGCTTCCACAACCGAAACCCGCGTCGAAGTGGCCGAAAAATTTGCCATTCGGCAAATATTGAAAAATGAGCTCGGGGTAAAGCCGTTGAAATTCCAAAAAGTACAAGAACTTACACCGCAAAAGAAAGAAAATATGATCAAAAGAGATCTAAAGAGTTGCTTCGCTTGGCCGAAAGTGGTGAGCTGCCTAATTTGGGTTTCTCCGAAGAGAAAACATTCGTTGCCCAGCAGTTTGTAAACAAACAAAATGATAGTGTTTACCTGCCAAAGACGTCAGCTGAAAATGTGCACCTTCGGTTGGTCAACAGAACTCAAGCGCCGGCCATGGTGATGGTGTGGGCCGCCATAACAGGCGATAGTCGCCCTCCGCTCGTATTAATCGACCGTGCCATCAGAATAAATGCCGAATGTTACCGCGAAAATATTCTGGAGGGTGTATTAAGGGTGGGGTGTTACAAAATGAGGTCCCTCGCTTCATTTCCAGTGCACAATGGCCACAAAATTTCCGGATACCAATCCGTCGGACTATTGTGTCTAGAGTATTTTGGAAAGCAAGGTTGGCACTAAAAAATACCAAAGTGTCGATCGCCTCAAGCAACTCTGGTCTGTATGAAATGAACAAAATATTTGACATATGGCCAGATCGTTTCATACATAATTCAGACACATATATGATCTTATGTGATCTACCCTAATGACATATTGTGATATTTTATAGTTACGATCCAGAAAGACAGAAATCAACTATTTTTCCAACTTTTCGCTAGGAAATCGTTTTCCAACCCAAAAATCGCTGTTTTACATGCCAAGTAGCGCCGAAAATAAGATATTATTTATTATTTTTGTAAAATATGTCACCCGCCATACGTAAATATTTTAGGTGCGAAAATAATTTTTATTTGAAAAATGACAAGGTCATGTTTGTTGAAAAAGGGTTGCCATATCCCATTTAGCAAATGAGACTACCTCTATTGTTTTGCTGTGACTTTCTAGACTAAAGGAGAGCGTACATAAAACGCTTTTATGACTGGCTTAAGTTTTCGACTGGTTTCTTCGTAGAGGAGCAATGGAGTTTAGGTTGACTTAGTTCGACTTTGGCCCTACGCTCCTTTGTACTTTTTCGTTTTATGTATTCTCACCTTAAGATGAATCAAATCCATTGTATACACACAAAATCAGAGATGAGAACCTATTTCCTATGCATTGAAATTTGACAAGGTAAATTACAGAAAATGCAGAGATGGGAATGCTTATTTGAAATGATTTTACCTTCTTAATTTTACCATGAGAACAAGTAAAACTATTTAAAAAATAGACCGACAGACATTTAGATTTACTTTTACGAATTTTCCAGGTTCCCGCTCTCATACTTCCTGGGCAAACTAGTTGCCCCAGACGGAATTTCATATATTCTTTCTTTTGATAGTTTATTCAATACAAAAGTACAGGATACAGCCTTGCCGATAGATAAAAAAGTGATGTTGTCGGACACATAAATCGTTTTTCGTTCATACAAGTTTCATTTTAGTATGAACTGTCCGATAAGCAAAAGGTCAGACCATTTTCTCTTTATCTTTTAACATAACTTTTACTGAATTCATGTTGCCATATTTTTTTTATTGATAATATGGCAATAACAGCAAAATTTATTTAAATAAAAAAATGGATAACGCAAATCGTTTATTTTATATTGAAGAACTGAATTATAAATTTATTTCACGTAATTAATTACAAATTCGCATTTTGTTTATCATTCTTAAACTAAAAAAATGAAGATGCCATTGTGAAAAAATGCAATGAATACCAGTTACTTTTAAAAAAGCTTGCCATATCCCTGTAAAAAATGCATATATTTTAAAGGAAAGATATGTAATAATGAGAACCCGATAATGTGAACTTTATTCTTTAGTTTTCCTAAAGTAAGGGATAAAAAAGTGGAAGAAAAAAAGATATAAGAATCGAAGAAGCGGCCAAGTTTTTCCCCTGAAAGCCACAGTAAAATAATTGAGTGCAATTAGAAATTGCATATTTAAGACTTGCAGCATCTAAACAGTCTCTTTTTCTAGTTTTTTACCATCACTAAAATGCATTGACACAAAGATATTTGTTTCGAGTCACATTAATTCCTCTTATTCATATCTTCCTACTCTCTCCCTCACTCTCTCTCTCTCTCAATTGCAATAATATTTACCAAAAAGGAAGACAACAGACATCTGGTTTTTGGCGCACAAGTGTGTTGTGGCTGTGAAATTGATCGATGATAACAATTTCATTAATTAGTCTAATGCTGGAGATTGGGATGATAGCATCCACGTCGTCTACGAACGTTAAACGAATGCATTGAAAATCTCTTTCCGTTACTGATTATTTCCAATGTCAAAAGGTGTTGATGTTATTATGCTTCCAATAGACTAATGTACAAAAAATTAAACAAAAAACACTCAAAACAACAAAATCAAAAACATAATAACAACAACAATAAAATTAAGGCATCAAATCAAAGCAATTAATAATGATTAGATTATTGTACACCGAATTGGTTTTGTGAATTTGATCTATAGCATTTAGCAGAGTATACATATTAAAAAGCTTTAATAGCTCAAAACAAAACGTTAAATAGGTATTTGTATTGAATGGCGATGAATGAATGAATATTAAATTTTGTATAAATTAAACGTAAAAAGCCTACCGTGTAGAAAATAATTAGAATGTGTCTAGGCAATAGAATTGACATTGAATTCTGATCTTGTGTACAGACACATATATATATGTGTCATAAATAACATATGGCACACATTTCTTGACCCACTTTTTTAAAAGTTACACCAAACTACAAAGGCGGGGGAAAATTTTCACCTTTTGTGATTATCTGTCAAACTAAAGGCACTATCAGACGATATGTTTTTACATACATAATGTCAGAGTTTCCATATGTAGAAATTTCACACATTGTGTGTTACATAGACGATATTTTAGCTATGAAATACATGAGTTAAGTACATTCCATGGTAGAAGAATTCAGGTAGATGGATCAACGCCTAGGAATTTCAATTTTAAAATTGGTTTGTCAGTTCATTCTTCTTTTATTATATTCTTCTGCCATGGTACATTCCATGGTAGAAGAATATAGGTAGACGCATCGACACAGCTGCTGGGACAATCAACTGTCAAACAAATTTTGGAATAGAAAATCTTGAATGAAAAATTATTTAAATTTGTAAAAATTGTTGAAAAACGAAAATTATAATAACCACCGAATGACGTCGTATAAGAAAACATATTAAAAAAAAAACATTTAAAATTTTTTGACGTATCAATGTTTGTCTGTATTTTTCTACCGTGAGTTAAGTACATTCCATGCTACATGAATACAGATAGATAGATGCATTAACGCTTGGAAGCATTGATATTTCAAATTTATTTTCATGTTTTTAAGAAAAATATGTATATTTTTTATTAGTTTTCTTATACGACACCAATCGGAGGTTGTTATTATATAGATTTCCAACAATTTTTAAAAATTTAAATAATTTTTTCTTTCAAAATTTTTCAATTCCAAAATTGGTTAGACAGTTCATTGTCCCAACAGCTGTGTTCTTCTACCATTGTACATTCGTACTTTTTCGATCACAGCGAGCCCTATTTTCATCGGAAAAATATAATTTAATCAAAATTGTTTTTTAAAAGTTAAATTTGAGGCAAACATTCACACATAAAATATTATAGTATAAAGTTCACATTATCAGGTTCTTATTATTACACCTCTTTCTTTTAAAATATATGCATTTTTTACAGAGATATGGCAAGCTGTTTTTAAAAGTAACTGGTATTCATTGCATTTTTTCACAATGATATCTTCCTTTTAGTTTAAAAATAATAAACAAAATACGAATTTGTAATTAATTTCGTGAAATAAATTTACAATTCAGTTCTTCAATATAAAATAAACGATTTGCGTTATCCTTTTTTTATTTAAATAAATTTAGCTGTTATTGCCATATTATCAATGAAAAATATGGCAACATGAATTCTGTAAACTTTATGTTAAAAGATAAAGGGAAGATGGTCTGACCTTTTGCTTATCGGACAGTTCATACTTAAATGAAACTTATATGAACGAAAAACGATTTATGTGTCCGAGAACATCACTTTTTTATCTATCTATCTATCTATCTATCTATGATTTTTTACAAAATACAATATAATCCATGGTAAAATTAAGAAGGTAAAGTCATTTCAAATAAACATACCCCATCTCTGCATTTTCCGTAATTTTTCTTGTCAAATTTCACTTTATAGAAAACAAGTTCGCAACCCTGATTTGTGTATGTACATTAGATCAGATAGATAAATATACATTTTGACAATGAGGTGCTGTCAAATGAATTATATTGAAAAAAAAAAAACGTAAACATATGATTGCATGACTTTACTTTCTTAATTTTTAACCATGATATAATCAAAGGATATGAAAAACATATGCAAGTGTGTAATAGCAAATATTATGAGTCATATGTAAAATATTAATTTTGACATAAACGCGGAAATACACATGAATACGATATGTGACAGCACATATGTAAAGCCCATTTCGTTTAATAATGCCTTTGCATGGGTGATGCATTGCATCGAGTAAAGGCGAGAATACATAAAACACTTTTTTGACTGGCTTAAGCGTCAAAACATGAACTATGTCAACCTAAAATTCCTTTATTCCTCTAAAAAGAACCAGTCGATCACTTAAGCCAGCCAAAAAAGCGTTTTAGGGTGGGAATACATAAAACGCTTATTTGGCTGGCTTAAGTCATCGGCTGGCTTCTTCGGAAATGAACAAAGGAGCCTAGGTCCAAAATCGAACTAAGTCAACCTAAAACTCCTTTTTTCCTCTACGAAGAAGCCAGCCGATGACTTAAGCCAGTCAAAAAAGCGTTTTATGTATTGTCATCTTTATGTATTTTCACCTTAAAGTCATCGGCTGACTTCTTCGCAAAAGGGCCGAAATTGAACTAAGTCAACCTAAAACTTCTTTGTCAGAAAAAGCCAGTCAAAAAAGCCTTTTATGAATTCTCACCTATAAAAACCTTTTATGTGTTCTCAGCCATAGTATTAAACCTATTACATTAACTTCACTGTTTTTAATATTTTTAGGGTGGAGGTAGATGCCATTTACTGGCTTAAGTCGTCGGTTGTCTTCTTTCTAAAATAACAACGGAGTCCTAGGGTGACGTAGTTCAATTTCGGCTCGTAGTTTTAGAGGAAGTCTGGCAATGGCTTATGCTAGTGAGAACATTTACAAATTTAAGTATCTGCACATTCAGAGCATGGTAAAATTAAGAAGTTACTGTTATTTTAAATAAAAATATCCAACTCTGCACTTTCTGTAATTTACCTCATCAAATTTCACTTAATAGAAAAAGGGTTTCCATCTCTGATTTGTGTATAAACTATGGATTTATAAATATACATTTTGACAATGAGATGTTGTCAAATGAATAATTTTGAAAAATTTGTATACAGTGCAAGTTTGTTCATGAATGTGAACTTTTGGAATTTTTCATATCTTTCTGCAAATTTCTTGTGGTAATAAATTCCACTTTTTTTTGCTTTGTTCCAATACCTTCAAAAATATACTAGTTTTGCCATATTTCTTCGATATCGTAAAGGAAAAATCGGTTATCGTTGTAAAAACTTTTACATTCTTGCAATTCTGGAACAGACCTTATATTTTAAAATCCTCTTATTCTGTTAATAACACAGCTTAGACTCGCTAGAATAATAATTTCAATTCACAAACTAAATTTATCATAGATTTTTCTATTTATTGCAAACAAATTGAGCCACAAATAAGCAGCTGCAAACAGCTGATCGACAACAGCTGTTGCGCAATTTATGCAGCTTTTCGAAAATGCACCAAAAGGCCTTATATTTGTATAATGCATTTTGTCTATACACTTTTGTGTATCTGATATATATATATATATATATATATATATATATATATATATATATATATATATATATATATATATAATTTGAATGTAAATATACAAAGTGTAAACACTGTGTAATTAAGACGCCTTTCACATATTTATGATATGAATATATTAACAATGACACACTTTGGCTGGAGACCATTTCAAATTCCCCCTTCATAATGTATTGCCTAATATTTTTAAAATTTGCCTAATATCTGGTAATTGTCTTTCTCTTTCATTTCCGAGTTATGATATTTGGGGGACGCAAACCAACATCAACTCATTAATAAATGAATTACCTACAAGAGATGTCTTGACACAAAACAACATGGCCAATGAGAAAAACAACAAAAGCAACAAATAACATTTTCCTAGTATTTGTGTTTAATTAATGTTCAAATTTCAGCTCACAGGGTCGGTCAAATATCAGTTACTTTAACCCTTAACTTTTCAAAAAAAGAAAAAACAAAACAAAAAAACATTAATTTTTTTATGTTGCCAAACAAGAGCAGTTGTTTTGTGATTTCGTTTTCATGCTTCATTATTATTATTATTGTTGTTGTTGTTATAGTTGTTCACTTTTGAAATGTCAAGAAATCTTTTGGTTTTTCAGCTTTTTTTTTTTGGCTTTGGCCCCCGCAAATGTTAAACTCTCAACATTTGAATCATACATATCCCCAAACGGCCCCCTCCCCAAAACAATAAAACAATAATCTAAGTTTGACTTACCATTAACTATTAGAAATACAAAAATTGTTGTTAAGTAATTCTTCATTGTTGGAGATGATGTTGTTGTTGCTGTTGGTGGTGACGGCGGCGGCGTTGATTGGGCTGCGGCTGTTGGCGGCTGCTGCTGCTGCTGTTGGTTGTGTTGCGTGGTGATGTTGGTCCTATTTCGTCGTTCAAATCGTTTGTTATTGTCGTTGTTGTACTCCAGTTATTGGCTATTGGTGGTTTTGCTGTTGACTGCTACTTTTTTCAAACGATTAAATATGATTTAATTTATTGGTAAAACGAGAGTTCAAATAATTTACTGGCCATTTGTTGGAAAATATTTGCACACAAATACACACACACACATAGTAGATCGTTCGTTGGATTGAATTGGATTGGCCAAACGGATAAGTAGTAATTGAAACAATAAAAACAATTAAGATTTTGAAAATTATAACAATACTGGATTACTGTTGTTGTTATTGTTCTTTAAATAGCAATACAGCTGATTGATTATTAAAATATCGTTTATATGGCCAAAGGGAAAGATTTATCCGGTGATTACTTTACACAGGGCAACAAAAGAAAGAAATGAAATATGGCTAATACTTTAAAGCGTGGTTCCGGAATGCTATAGTCACACACATTTTAAAAAAGATATGACAATCTAATGGCACGTTTTACTTATAAATGCTGTGATTCTTTTACTGTGATCATGAGCTCCATAATGATTTATTTTACGTAAAGTGTATAAAAACTCAGTTCAAATATATATTTTCGTTGACAAAATGCCCTTGAATATGGTTACTTTAAGAAAAAACTATAAATTTTCTGATGATTTGCATGTAAGGTATGATAATTTGATGTATGCCCAGAGAGCATAATTTAACTATAAAGTAGGGTACACATGATCGATCAGGGATGTGTTTCTCAACCTTTTCAATGCTGAGCAAAGTCAATTTGAGAACAGCCCAAGTTGTTTGACGAGAAAACGATTGAGAGAATGTAATCTGTGACGTAATGCCCAAGACGAAGCTTTTATTCTGTCTGAACATTTTTAAGTCGCAAACACAGACTTTATTTATATAAGAGATGTTTTAATAAATCTTATTACCATTTTCTTTGAATCTTTTCCAAATAATGACAAAAAAAGTAACAAATTTTGACATTGACATTAGTAAAAGAAAGAAAAAAAGCAAAGAGAGAAATACTTGAGAAATGAATAAAAATGAAAAAAAATCTCGTCTCGAAAGAGAAATAATAATAAACAAGAATTTTTCTCTCTGTGTTTTTTTTTTTCTTACGTTCTTTTACTAATGTCAATGTCAAAATTTAATAATTGATCTTCTAACTCTCTAAACGAATCTGTAGAATATGTGAGCTCAGTTCACTTGCCTTTCCTAAACGTAAGGTTAATGCTTTAAGTGTCCCTCTTAAGGTGAGAACACATAAAACACTTTTTTGACTTGTGTCAAAGGAGTTTTAGGTTGACATAGTTCGATTTTCGCCCTACCCTCCTTTGTTCTATTCCAAAGAAGCCAGTCGATGACTTAAGCTAGTCAAATGAGCATTTTATGTATTCTTACCTTTACTTTCACGTATTTTACGTCAAAATAATGGAAATATATGGTAGTTATGTTTGCTTCAAAAGGTATTCAATAATAATTATAATCCATTTACAAGTGCAAAACGTCTTTGTTTACATCCACGGTAAAATTATATAAGGTAATCTCATGTTAAAAGTACATTTAGATTTACCAAATCAAATCATCAAATCAAATACATTTTGGATCTGGATTTATAAATACGATTTAAGTAACGTATACGCTATGGAGATGACATTTAAAATCAATGGAAATGGATTTTGCAGTCTGAAAATGATCTCACATTTGTTCATAGTATGACATTGACAACATCCTTCATTTAAAATCAGAAATGATAGCTACCTCCTTTGAAATGTACGCACAAATTGTGTTTTGTGACAAAATTTATAAACTTTATTATGGTTTCAAATTCGTGGCATTTTATAATTGTTTATTTATAAAAACAAATAAAGTACGCGAGAGAAACATGGATAGTAGAATAGAAAAAAGCTTACTTTTACCCAGTTGTGGTAGAATTATGAAGGAAACGTCATGCAATCATATGTTTACCATTTTTTCCAAATTTTACATTTCACAAAATTGAATTGTCAAAATGTATATTTATAAATCCATTGCATATACACAAATCAGAGATGGAAACCTATTTTCCATGCACTGAAATTTGACAAGTTAAATTACAGAAAATGCAGAGATGGATTTGCTTATCTGAAATGACTTTACCTTCATAATTTTACCATGCTTTTACCGATAAAATGACTTGAAGAGATTTTTGAGAAAAACGAAAAGAACGCCACTTGTCTTTCGTTAATAGTTATGGATTTAATTTAAAAATATTTAAAAATCATAGGTGAGTACCGATATACAAAAGGTTGCCATTTCCTATTTGGCAAATGATATGACCTTGTTAATTCTATCATGGTTAACATCCATGGTAGAAGAATCCATGCATTAGAACAATGATATGTTAAAAATTTAAATTGTTTTTATATGTTTTCTTTTATGACGTCAATCTGAGACTGTCGTAATATGCATTTTCAACACTTTTTACAAATTTTTCTTTCAAAAATTTCAATTCAAAAATTAGTTTGACAGTTCATTGCCCCAGCAGCTGTGTCGATGCGACTTCCTCTTGACAGAAGAATACATGTAGACGTAATAATACATGTGGTCAAACCAATTTTGGTATTGAAATTTTTGAATGAAAATTTATACAAATTTGTAAAAATTCTTAAAAAATGCTTATCTTAACAACCTCCGATTATCGTTGTATAGGAAAACATATTCAAGTATACTTATTTGTGAAGAAACATTAAAGAAATTGAAATATAAATATTCCAAAGCGTTGATGCATCTACCTGAATTCTTCTACCATGGACTACCTATATTCTTATAATAATAACATTTGTCACCTAAAAAAATTATCAGTCAAAACGGCTTTTACATATTTGCTGTCACTTTTATTATCCATGTGTACGTCAAAGTTGCCATTTTACTTGCATATGTGTTTTAAATTGATTTGCTTATATTGTGATTTTAATCTGTTTTATAACGAATTTCAATATTTTATGGATGTATTTTTACCGCAAATTTCATTTTATATATTTTAACAAAACAAACAATACTTTTAATCAAATTATAAAAATAGGGCTCGCAGTGATCGAAAAAGTACGTATGTCCTTTACTCATGTAGTTTACAACTGAAATGTTGTCGATGTATCACACGATATGTGCAACCTCTACACATGGAAAATTTGACATAACATATGAAAAAAACACATTTCGTCTGATAGAACCTTAAGTTGTCAAAAATGCCAACCAAAATGTCACATTGCCGTGAAAGGCTTATAGGTAGCTATGAGTCGGTTAATTCAAATGCTTCAATTGTCCCACCAAGTTGTATAATCTATTTCATTTCGTGTCTCAAAACATTGTTGCACTGTGTAGTAGGTAATTTAAAAGGATTTCATTGATCCGGCCAATAATATTATTATTAAAGTTAACAATACCTGTTGAATAGTTCAATATACATGATATTGTTATAACGTTTTTTTTTCTATCTTTTTTTTTGGTTTAGTGTCCGTTTCAAATAATTCGCCACTCTGTGAAATAAGTATTTTTGTTATTATTTTTGTTGTTGTTTTTGTTTTACCAACCACCAGCAGCGGCAATATTATGGCATTTGCTTTTTTTTTTGTTGCTTTTCAGTTATAATTGTTGTTCAACTCAACATTATCTCAAGGTTATGTACTTTCAAACATACATCGAGCAAAAACAAAAAAAAAAAAAAAAACACACAGGTATGTATCATTATTATATTATTTTTTTTTTCTTGAAAATGTTTTCTTGTTGTTGTTTTGTGTGTTCAAATTGAAATATTAACGTCAAGAGACAGAAAGACAGACATAGCCGCGACACTGAATGACTCGAAGTTTAACATCATACCATTGGCTTGGTTTCGAAAGAAGGTTTAAGCGAACGCCAAGTATCCAACTTGAGTTTGTGGGTACACCAATGTGGGGGTACTGCCACCAGAAACAATTTTTTGTTTTTTTTTTTTTTGGTCAGAAATAATTAACGTTACGCCCTCCTTCTTCCGTATTGTTCTTTTTGGGTGTTTGTGTTAAGAATGTTTTTTTTTTTTGGTTGTTGAGTGGTATTTTCGTTTTTTTTTTTTTTTTGGGTTGCCACTTTGCATTTCTGTATTTGGCGCCCAAAGGCACACATAGCTGAGTGTTGACATGGCATTTGAATGGGGGGTATAAGGAATGGCTTTCTTACCTTCTTTGAGGTTTTTTTAGAACCATTCAATAACGGCTCATTTTTAAAGTTGGTTATAAGCATAAATTAAAGTAAAAGTATTGTTGTGGGTCTGGCAAATTAATTACTGCAAATAAATCTTTTCTATGTTATTTTCACAGTTTTTTGTTGTTGTTATTGTTATTAGAAATCTATTTTTTTTTCTCCTTTGAGTTTTATTTTATGGTTATAAAAAGTAATTTTTTATATTTGTTTTTTTTTTACAAGCGTCGTTTATAAGGCGGACTTTAATTGTGATCCGCCGATTTTGCGCGTTGTTTCGTTCGTTGTTGCCTGTGTTACTGTTACTGACGTGCTTCAACTAACAGCTAAATTTTTGCTCACAATATCAAAGCGTATGCAGAGCCAAAGCGTTAGGCCAAAGCAACTGCGCAGCGCCGTGTTGGCGTGAGCATTATAACAACAATAAACAGCCACAATAAACAGAGCGTCTTAACTTAGCTAACTTGCTGCTGCTCTCGCCTTGCAAACCATAGAGCAAGCGCGTCGTTAGTTACAACATAAACAAATTGCACTATTGGTTTGACGATGACGATGTATGAAAAAAAAAGTAACAGCGAGCTGCTGAACTGCTTTATGGCTTTGTGTTTTGTTTTGTTGTTTTTTTCCTTCATCTGTTTTTCTGCTCCAAACTCCACACATTTGGTATTTTGTTGTTGCCTTCTCTATATTAAATCCATCCATTCAATGTATTGGTGTTCAAATGAACATGAAAAGTATTGCCTGAAACTGTTATGTGAACAGGAGTGGGGGGAGCGCATTTGTTAGTTGTTTAAAATCAAGCAAACAGCATTTTTTCCCAGCCATAAAAAGGTTTTTTTTTTTCTTTTAATCACACAATCATTGGGCCAACCAAGCAACAATACAACGTTTCTTATTTTTTTCTGCAAAAAGTAAAACTATTGCAACAATAACACAAGAACACATTACATAAAAACAAAAACCATTTACCATTCTAAGCTTTTTTTGTAGTTTGTTCGGAAATCTTGTTCACAGCAAACGAAATTGAAAGTCTACAAAGATTTTATCTGGTTTTGGTGGAAAAAAGGTGGCACACAAGGAATAGAAATGGGGGGAAAATGCAAGCAAAAGAAATAAGCAAAGAAGAATTCTTGTAACAGTTTCTCTTCTCAATTTGTTATTCCAAATCTCAAATGAAAAAAGACCGTTACAAGAGAATTGACAATCTCATGCAAGAATTAACAAGATAATCTCATCAGACAAATCGGTAATGGCAACCCTTTTTCATATTGGAATTTATCTATCATTTTCAAATAACTTTAATATTTATTCCATGGCAAAATTAAAGATGTAATCTTAATGCCAAATCGTAAAATCTAACGAACTCGATCTTTTCATTTTACAAATAAAATTTATTCTCATATCTAAAATATTTACGTATGACGAGTGGCAGATTTTGAAAAAGAAAAATTATCATTAATTTTCGGCGTTCCTTGTAATCGTATGATGGCAAGAGATTACTTCGGTAATTGTACCGTGATTTATTCCATAACTATTTACGTAAAACGAGTGGCATTTTTTTAAATATTAAAAAATAACTGCAGCTGACTTTTTCGCGTTGATTGCAAGGAGCAATTCTTTGCTTTATGACATACACATGTGTCTATTAACATAAATGCACTAAAAATCTGATCAAGTTAATTTATCCACGGTAAAATTAAGAAGGTAAAGTCATTTCATTCCCATCTTTGCATTTTCTGATATTTAGCTTGTCAAATTTCACTTCATGGACAGCAGGTTTCCATCTCTGACTTGTGTATGTACAGTGGATTTATAAATATATATTTTGACAGTGAGATGTTGTCAAATAAACAATTAAAAAAATTGTAAACTTACGACTTTACCTTTTTGATTCTACCATGACTTTATCGTAAAATTACAGTTTTTCTCTCATATTTTTTTGTAAAATTGTAAAATAATAAGTAATGACATAAATACAGTAAAAAATCTGATCAAGTCATTATAGCATATATATATAAAATATTTATTTTTTACTATTCTGCGATCCGTGTTTTTTTTTTGCGATCTATAATTTTAACGGGAATTTCAATCCATAAACAAGATTATAACTTTTTATTCTGCACAAGTTGTGCGACCAAATCAAGGTGGTAGAATTAAGAAGGTAAAGTCATGCAATCATATGTTTACAATTTTTTCAAAAATTTTCATTTGACAACATTTAATTGTCGAAATTTATATTTATAAATCCATTGGATACACAAAAATCAGTGAAATTTAATTAATTACAGAAAATGCAGACATGGGTAGTCTTATTTGAAATGACTTTACCTTCCTATCTTTACCATGGATCACCGATAGATAGATTAACATGAAATGTGAACGTAGTGAATCTACTACGATTATTTTACTACAACATCCATGGTAGAAGAATATAGGTAGAAGCGTCGACACAGCTGCTAGGACAATGAACTGTCAAATCAACTTTGGAATTGAAAATGTTGAATGAAAAATTATTTAAATTTATAAAAAATTTTGAAAAACGTGAATTTTAATAGCCTCCGACTGACGTAGTATAAGGAAACATATAAAAATCTACGTATATTTGCAAAAACATTTAAATTTTTTGGACATATCAATGCTCCCAAGCGTTGATGCATCTACCTGTATTCTTCTGCCATGACAGCATCTGATTAAGGCTCTATCAGACGATATGGTTTTTTACATATGTAGTGTCAAATTTTCCATATGTAGAAGCCATGCACAACGTGTGATGCATGGGCGACATTTCTGTTGTGAAATACACAAAACAAACGAACAACACTTTTGATTGTATTATATTTTTCCGATGAAAATAGGTCTCGCTGTGATCGAAAATGTATGTATGTACTTTACTCATGTATTTCACAACTGAAATGTCGTCAATGTGCAACATAAAAAATCCCGTAATCCGGATAAAATTTTGTATCTAAGTCAGGTTGAATAAATCTGGACTAAGAAATCATGGTAAAGAGGGTTAATCCAGATAATTTGTATCGAAACGGGTAATAACGCGTAAATGCCAGTTTAGATGTTTTCATGGTAGAAGAATACAGGAAGGAAACTAATTTTGAATGTGAATATTTTGAGTAAAAAATTATTCAAATTTGTAAAAAATGTAAAAAATGTTTTTTTTTTTTATATCTTGAAAAAAAATATCAAATATTTTTGGCATATCAATGTTCTCAAGCCTTGTTTTGGAAGCCTTATATTGGAAATAAAATTAATTCCCACATATGTCTAAAAAATGGCAGC